CTCCCCCAAGCATCTATGATGCATATGAGAAGAACCCCGTTTTATTGGCATGTATGTCGTAATTAGGTTGTGGGGTGGAGCGTGTGACGTAGCTCGTCATTTGTCCTCAAAGCCCCAGAGGAGTTGTTTGCTCGTGTCGCGATCTATTAACACCAGTAAGAAGTGCAGCATCACATGAGTGGGACTGGTATGGTAATAAAACATTTACCTGTTTCAGGTTGGTTTATTACGAATAGAATTCTTTACCACTAGCCAAAAAGAACTCCATTGCGCTAGGTTCAAGAATTCCAACTCATTCAAATTTGCAAGTGTTGAGATGTTACGAGATTGCTACTGGTACTGTCTGGTTCTACACCCCCCCAAAAAAACTTGGTGACTTCTCAAACTTGTTGGTGATTAATTTTTTATTAAACATTTGTGTAAAAGCATTTTCAAAATAGTGTCACTCTAAGACTTCCATTTAAAGAGCAGCTGATTAAAAAATTCAAAAAGCAAGAAGCATTGGTAATAAAACATTTGCCTGTTTTCAAAAATCCAATTTTTTTTCACTGTTATCTCTTCCATTTTGAATTATGCATTGAGGAAAACAGACATACTAAAGGCATACCTGGATAGCCATATAACTATTTTGGCAATATAATATAATGCTTTGTTCATGAATATTATTATTATTAGTCCAAAGGGCCCCTGAAGAACTATTGTTTTTGTTTTGCGATTTTACGTTGGTTCACTATGAATGCCCTTCAAACTGCTGCCACCCAATGTTAGAGTCCTGTATTATATTTGAAGAAATTAAAAAATGAAAAATCTGCATAAATGTATGTATATTTCTCGCATTGTGATAAAACAGCGGTACTCGAGCCATTGAATTTTGAATGAGGTAATCCTACTGCAAATATATGGGCATGTGGAAGCCCAAATATGGAATTTGTTTTATTATCAATTTCATATTTTGTAACACTTCAACGAATTTTTAATTAACAAACTCAAGGATTTCAAAGTGAGCCATGGCAACGTTGTACAGAAAAAAAACATTTTTATCTCCAGCGCGTGAGACTGTGTATTGAAAATTATAAAGATATGCTCATTTTAAAATTGTTTTGCGATATTGCTGTTGAACTGAATTTTATGGTTTAAGCTCAAAGAACATGCTATGTAATAAATAAAGGTAACACACAAAATGTTAAAAAAAAAAAAGCCCCTTTGGACGTAATTTAAAATCTGAAACCTTTCATTTTTTTTTTCAATTTTATGTTGGGATGGAATAAACGGAAAGTAAAAAAAAAAAAAAAAAAAATATGTGTATATAGCTGATTGCACATTCATAGCAAATTCGTCCAGATCTGCCAAAGTATTTTGTTATGTTAGTGTATGGGGTAGAAATGTAGTTCTGAATTTGTTTTTCTTGGTCGAAAGAACAAGGATGTGGTGTTAAAACTCTCACCAACTGATTTACTTTCTCATGTGATTCGCACATTTCACGTTGTGAAAAATAACATAACTCACTCTGTCAACTGAATGACACTATGAGTTCCCTCGCCCCACAGAACCAGGCACAGGGGTTCAACCTCTTCCCTCGCACCTTGGAGAGAGAGACGCGTTACTTTTGCGACACTGGTCATTGTCAAGGGTTTCCTAAGAGTCAGTCACACAGGCTGTCCGTTGCCAAAGAACATTACCCAGCATACCCATAGTGCCACCACCAGGTAATATTCCACCCCAGGCTACTAGAGCGTTGAGCTCTAGGATGTGCCAGACCCACAAGCTGACTAATAAGTGATCTTTCCAGGGCCTCTAAAACTATTAGATTCATAATTTGTATAGTCCTGTGGCTGAGACTGCCTAGGTACAGATCCTAACAAGTAGCTTTAACAAGATCCTAACAAGTAGCAAGAACCAGGCACAGGGGTTCAACCTCTTCCCTCGCACCTTGGAGAGAGAGACGCGTTACTTTTGCGACACTGGTCATTGTCAAGGGTTTCCTAAGAGTCAGTCACACAGGCTGTCCGTTGCCCAAGAACATTACCCAGCATACCCATAGTGCCACCACCAGGTAATATTCCACCCCAGGCTACTAGAGCGTTGAGCTCTAGGATGTGCCAGACCCACAAGCTGACCAATAAGTGATCTTTCCAGGGCCTCTAAAACTATAGATTCATAATTTGTATAGTCCTGTGGCTGAGACTGCCTAGGTACAGATCCTAACAAGTAGCTTTACAAAGTTCTCTATGTCGACCCCCTGGAGATTGTGAAAAGTAAGATTAACCTTTTTAGAACTAGTGCTGGTGGGAATGAAAGGTATGCTTAACTGCTAACCTTAATGGAAAATTAAGCAGAAAAGATTTGTAAACTCCATTATGAAACATGACTAGGACTGCGATTTGAATCAAACAAAAACTGTCACTAAACAGTGGGATTTATTGCCAGTAACTGATAAGTGCGGCATAACACTTTATTTAAACCCGATTAATTCTCGATAAGTTGGTTTCCTTTTTTTAAAAAACAATATAAATTAACTGCTGTTTATTTGTGTTTCAATTACATTTTGAAAAAAATTATTAAAATTTGGGGCTGACTTGATGGAACAAGAGGCGATAGAGAGCAGAGTAATTTTCAAATTTACAGGATCCTTGCATAAAAAAAAGTGTAACTTCTGTGGAAATGGATAAGCACTGGCTGTGCAATATGAAAAATTGTGACAAGTGATTCAAGTTCTTTATATGTTTTACCTGTAAGTTTTATATGCTGTTTAACTAAATAAAAAGCTCCTCCAAATTTCTGCTGAAACTGACTGACATTTGGTGAGATCTCCCCAATTTTCAATGTTGGTGGAATTTTTTAAACTAATATGATATTTCAGCATTTGTGTTACTTTGGCATTTATGCCTGAAATGTGGCTTGTGTATTTCTAAATCTCACGTAAATTAAATTTATAATTTTAGACTGGAATTTTTTTTCCCCCCATTCAGTTGGCTTTTCTTCTATGAACTGCCATTTTTTAATGTGCTCAATTATTTTGAATTTATCATTTCCGGAATATTCCAGACAATTTAGCTTTTACTTTAAACTTCAATTCATCAAAATATTCCGTATGTGCTTTGGATAAGAAATGAAGAAAGAAGATATCTTGACAAGGTAAGAGTTTTAATAAATACATTGATATCTTAAGCAGAAGAAAAACGATCATATTTTTAACATGGCTTCTCTGTACCTTTGACAGAAATGAAATGGAAGTTACATCACTGACAAGATTTATTCTACAAAAAGATTTCAGAACATTTTATGAAATGAAAAATTAAAGGATAGAGTTATGTAAACAAAAATTTTAGCCTCCGAAAATTGAAATAACAAGAGAAGCTATTGAATGTCTTTTTTTAATTTCATGTGTCATATGTACTGATATTTCCCTGAATTTTAAAAGGAGTCATATATATGTAAGCTTACATTCATAAGGAATTTTAAAATGCCCAAAAATGAAGATCTAGTATTTGGTCTTATACAACTGAGAATTTGACTTTGACAGGTTTAAAGTAATCTGAAAATCATATTATTTGAAGCATTTACCAAGTAAAAGATTGAATGTAGAGTTAAATGACAGGCAGATAGAATTAAAATGATTGTTCTAAAAGTTGAAGATAATGAAGGCTTCAATCCGCAAGGATAACTGTGGGAAACAGCAGTATGTCTCAGAATATTAATTTCATTTATCAAAGTGGCAGATTTGGAATGTCAGTGAATTGTACAATAAACAGTGTAAAAGACTGCAATATTTTGTTAGACATTCAAGCATTCTCTGGTCCTAAACTAACACCTGAATGTGCAAGGGGCTTGGAAATTGTAAGTAGGAGAAGATATTTTACTTCAGAAAAAGCAAATGATTGGGGGTTCGATCTATGGTAGCTAACAAGTGACATGTCTAGGAATGGCTAAAAAAAAATTAATTGCTGAGGCTAAAGAGGGCACAATTAATTTTGTAAATAGAATCCTCTTTCATATCTGCCGCGTGTCAAAATTCTTTTTACACATATAGTATTTAAATCTTTCCAATTACAACCATTATCATGGAAGAAATTATTGCAATTTTTTTTATTAATAATGCTCTAGTTAGCTTGTCTATTGCTAAAGTCCAGGGAGACAATGAAAGAGCAAATTATTTATGAAAATAGTGATTGCCAGATTTCATAATTATATATCTAAGAAGAAAAAAATAAATGGTCATGTTTTCTTCACATAAACAAAATTCTGTCTGCGATTATCTGTATAAATAAATAATAAAAAATAAAAAAAAAATGCAGTTTTTTTACACTTTTGTTCATTTAGTTTTCTCTCTCTTTTTTAATAAAATTGTAAATTCTTTTAATATAAAATTCATACTGAAATACTTCATTTGAATAACAATACATGAAATTATAATTTACTATTACTGAACTGAAATGGTATTATAGAGGATGACTGTGCAATGAGAAAAAAATGGTGCACAAAGCAGAAGCTGAATCAGAGGTCTGCTTATTCCTTTTCAGACAGCTTTTTGGTTTATTTGCTTCTAATGTCGAGCTTACACTGGTAGAAATTCGAGTTGTAGCAAGAAATGAAACAGTATATCTGTTGACTGGAATAACTGCGTGCATATTTAATGATGTATTCCTATATTTGTGTTTATTTTGCATTTAATAAAACAACTATTCTTTTCACAAATCTGCATGTATTCAGTGTTCCCATTCCTATCTCTGGTTAGATTTTGTACCAAAATTTATACGTAGTGCCAAGTGGTGTCCTGTATTTAAAATTTCAACGGAATAGATGAGTTAAGTTAATTATTAAACTTAGCTCATTTATTAATTAATGGGCAAATCAGGGTGTTTGAATTTCTCTGCCTAGTTATTCTTTATTTTAGTGAAATGGAAATATACTTGAATATCAACTGATATTAATGTTAAAATGTCAGTACTGTAATTTGCTTTTTTCTTAATAATGTCATTATTATTATTTTTTTTTTATAGAAGAATACAAGAAATTGAGGGGTTTAGAGCCTTTTCAACCTGAAGATCCCCATATTCTGAAAGTATCTATTTTAGGTGAACCAAATGTTGGGAAATCTACTTTGACAAATAGTCTTGTGAAATGGAAGGTATTTACAAATTTTTATTTTGTTTGATCGGAAGTTTTAAATGTCATGATTATTTTACAAATATGTTTTTGGAAGTGGGGAATTGAAAAAAAATATGCAGGTTTACAACTATGCATTAAACAGCATTGGTATTTGTTGAAACAGTCACTTTCTCATGCAACAATTAATTACTTTGTGTTTTGCTGACATGTATTTAATGGCTTTTAAACTTCTTTCATATCAGATTACTGAATAAGAAATTAGTTGTTTATTTAATTCTATAAATAACACATGTACTACCACATCAGAAAATCAACTACTATAAGTTTTAATGTGTAATAGAACATATTAGGGTGCATGAACATTTGTATGTTTTAGGGTTTTATTTTAAGTGCATTGGTTCTTGTCTAAAATCTGCTACTGCTTAGAGCAGTCTTATTAAAAAAACATAATTTCAAAATCATGAGGCAAATATTAAAGCTTTCAGAATTGTACAGAATTATATATATATTTTTAGTTAATTAAAAATGTAAATTTTGATAATTTATATAAAAACTATAATCTATATAAAACTTTTATGACACTGTCTTCACAATAAGTTTTAATTTTATATCATTCTGTATTCTATGATTTAATTCTATATATTTATTAACACTATTATTTAAAGTTTAAGGCTATTTATAAACTTTCAAAATGTTTTTCCATAATTTTTCATTTTAACTGCATAAAATATCTATATAAATTAACTGTTAGAAACATAAAACAGATTCAAAAAAGTAAATGCCTGCATTCTTTTTTTAAAGAGAAAATATAATTTGTTGTTTAATTTTGCTGAAGAAAGTGTGATTTATGTATTTTTTGGGGGGGGATAAAAATGTTTTAGTTTTTATCTATACATCCTGTATTGAAGTAACATTTGATAACAAAGAAAGTAAAGTTCTTCGTCCCCCCTCCCCCCAATAGAGGAGGAGGAGAAACCTAAAGATCTTGCATTTTACATCGTAGTGCATGGTGATAGCTATAGATTTTATTTTGCTACGTCAAGATTTTTTATCTTAACCTCTTAAAGTCTATAGATATCATCATACCTCAAAAATCAACAGACGTAAAGAACTGAAAGAACTAGAAGCAACCTTTAGCAAGCACTACTATGATGTAAAATGCAAGATATTTAATTTATTACAATTAGGTTTCTTCTTGTCCTCTATGCAGGGGGATACATTTTCTGCAATGTAAGTGAAGAACTTTACTTTCTTATTTATCAAATGATATTTCAATATAGGATGTATATATAAAAATTAAAATGCTTTTATTATGTTATAATTGACTTTATTAACATTATTGCTTTATTATCATTTATTGCTTTATTAACAACTATATTACATCTATCAAGATTAGCTATTTAGAAGCTAAATTTCTTTGGAACAATTAATAATTCAGATTTTTTTTTTTTTTTTTTTTTTTTTCTATTCCAAGATGCTATTGACTCCAAGATACATCCTATTTTTAGCAATAATTGTATTGCAAAAAAGGATGCATATGAGTATTGGTGATATTTGATATCGTCCAAAGCTACTTATTGTGTTTTTTAAAAGGAAAAGAATACAGTTGTTGATATTATTGATTTTTAAAATGTATAAAAATAATTTAATGTATTATATATAATATGACTTCTTCTTTACTACATGATATAGCTTTGTATAAGTATACAATTAATTATGAATTATATTAATAATTTTGTGGTATTGTTCTGTTATCAAGACTGGATTCAGAAATGTATGAATGTATGTGCATGTTAGAATGTATATTGCAAAAAAACAAAAGAGACAGTTCTATAGGGCCAATTGACGAAATTCAACTTACATTTTTCATGTCTCGAAAGTGCGACTTGTGATATGTATTAGATTTATATGTAGCATTGGTTTAATATAGGTATTTTGACACAAAATCGAAGCACATGCATCCATGCATACATTTCTGGATCCAATATTGATGACAGAACAGTAGCAATTTTTTTAAATCATCAATGGTATTTTGATATCTGAATCAACTGTTTGTGGATATTTGACTATCAATACCTTGATCATGATTAACCCCTTTAACCAATCCCATTGGGAACTCATAATCTGTAATGTCATTTTTTAGATCAAATTATTCGTAAATCCTTTTGAACTGATTTGTAAGCTACTCCCTAAACTTAACAAACAGTTCAGTAAAGTTGTACGTAGAAATATGTGTATGAAGTTGGTTGAAAAAAATCATCTGATTTATACACAAGAATCAATTTTCTTTAATTTCTAGCCAAAAGTAAAGTATGCAAGATTATAATATTATTTAAAAAATAATTCTTTTTAGGAATTTGCTATTAATGTTATTAAATAAATAAACATGTATTTGAAAATGTTCTTGTATTTTTGCTTTTGCATTGTATCAGATATTCACATCAGTTTTTATTATGTTATCAAATAGATTTGCGCTGTTTCCAGAAAGGTGCATACGACGAGAAAAAAAGCGGCTGCAGTTTTAATAGAAGGGAATAAACAAATTGTAAGTTTTGAAACCTTTTTTTTTTTTTTTTTTGGAATAATATTAAATATTTGTGTAACAAATGATGCACTGGAAATCATTCATGATTAATGAATTTAATCATTAAGGATTGATTGATATTTTTATTTATAAAATTTGGTATTAGTGATGAGTACAACAGGGTTTGTATGGTCCTTAAGTTTTTGGAATTGATTTTTGGTCTTTAAAAGTCCTTAATTTTGGCCAAAATCAGCAGAAGGTCCTTAATTTTAATCATCTGAATTTTCTGTCTGTTTTTACGACTGCCATTTTGAGTGTGAATTAGCATTTTGGAGGAATATTTTTGGCGATTCACTGACATATATGGTTTTCTTTTGAATGGCTTCATGGGTTATAATGTGTTTCTATTTCTAATATAAATGATGGGATACTCAAGTTTCTAAGCAAGAAGTGAAACATTTCGAAATTTGTTTTTTCTAATAAAGAGTTCTTAAACAATTTTTCGCTTTGAGGATATAAATTCTTTTATTAAATGGTTCTAAATTTGATGACTTATCAAAATTTTAACGATTTTAAGGTCAGTTTCTATAGAAAATATTTAATTCCGAGATCTGAGAATTTTTTGCCTTTTTTTTTTTAAACATCGTAGCATAATATAAAAATCTGATATGTACACCACATGACTTCCTTGTACGGAATATTAAATTATACGCATTCTTTCGTGCATTTCATTTAAACTTATTGAATTAAATCTATTTCGCCGACAGCGCATAAACCACAATAGAATAAATGCGTTCTTTAAAATTCACTCTAGTATTTGTTTACCATAGCGACACTCTGGCGCTAGATTCACTTAACAGTATTAATAATTATATTACAGTTAACTTATATAATATTATATAATGGAAACTAAGTTAACTGTTATATAATCCAATAATTATATAACAGTTAACTTATATATTTCGTTCATATTATAACTCATAATGCACAAAATTTATATCATTTAAAGAATAGAATTGTCTAATCGTTGCCACATGTTCTATTCAAATACCATAATAAAGCTAGAATGATGTATAAAAGAAATTAAGCAAACAAAACAAAAAAGAAACAGTTTTTCACAGACGATAAAGTATTTCTCATTTAATTAATTCAGTTCTCACTTCGCGAGAAGGCAAAAATACATAAAAACTCAAAATATCTATATTAAAAAATACGAAGTAAATCTTAAACACTTATTTCCTCGAAAAAATTCCAGAAAGAATTAAGCATGATTTAATTGGCAATAATAAATTAATGTGTTATCTTTGTTGTTGCGAAATATGCGTTATACCAAAAAAAAAAAAAAAAAAAAATCACATGAAAGTTGCTTTTGCCCCAATTAAGAAAATACCTTCAAATTTTGGTAATTTTAAAATAACTTCAAAATTCAATCTGCTGATTTTAAACACTTTTATTTTAATCAAAATATGATGTCACACCTTTGTTACGCCCTCCCCCGCCTTGTCACAAACTGTCACAATTTCACTAACCCCCTCCAAGCGTGATATCATTTAGGGACGACCCCTTTCACGAAATTGATAGAGCACCCATCGATTTTACTGCACCTGCACACAAGACACAACCGAAAGCGAAAATGTTTCCTTCCATCCACTTCCCGCGCCAATCCTCCCAACCCCAACTGGCCATCAAAGACAATCTACACAAACCCAACACCAGAAACAACCCGCCGCGCTCTCCTGCTCCTCAGACACTTCCGTAGTTGACATGTTTTCTGATATTCAAAATCTTCTCCGTACAGATAAAATCAAACACGTGGTGGCGTGGCAGAGTTCCTTCAGTGCGCAAAATCGTTAGCTGCATATTTCGGCACTCCAAATCGTTACTAGGGCACTTCGGTACTCCAAATCATTACTAGGGTACTCCGGTACTCCAAATCGTTACTAGGGTACACCGGTACAGCAAACCGTTACTAGGGTACTCCGGTACAGCAAACCGTTACTCCGGTATTTCGTTTTTTCGGTACTCCAAATCGTTACTTGTGTACTCGGTACTTGAAATCGGTTTTCGGTACTTTTCAAAGTAACGGTTACTTGAGTAACGGGTATTTTGTACCGGGTACTTGTCTGTACCTGTTACTCTCGTATCGGGTACAAGAAAGTACTGAAGTTGCCCATCACTAGATCTTACTTCTCATTTTAACCTATTCCATTTGGCTTAAAATCGACATACTGTTAACTAAACCTCTAGACTGACCAAGTATGTGACAAACTGAGACATAAAAAAAATTAACATAAAACTAACTGTTAGTAAAATATAAATGTCACTTATCTTCTTTCAAATATGTCCAACTTTTATCAGTATAAAATATCTAATGCTACTTGATAAATTGTGTAAAGTTTATTTTATTCTCAAACTTATTACTAATTATGCTATTTAATTCATGTTTAGTAATAAGGCATACTACTTAAGGATCTATTTTATTTTTAAGATGGTATTACAATAGTGAAATTCGGGCATTAATAATATTTTTAATTGAATTTATTCAGTTCCCATGAACTCTTAGATCCTTAATTTTTTTCATTAATGGTCCTTAAAAGTACTTAATTTCCGTGTGCAAAAATATGTACAGACTCTGTAAATGTCATTCTCGTGGTATTGCAGATTTATATGCCATTCTCATGGTTATATTTACTCCTATTGTTTATTTGTGGTTATATAAGAAACATTACGGCAAACCTGTTTCTAATTTTTGGAGGGAGATTAGTTTTTTATTTATGAATATGTATGTGTATGTAAGTTTATATTTAAGTGATTAAAATGACTTTGTAAGTTACTATTCCTAAAAAGCTGCCAAACTATTTCATTGTAATTTGATACTATTTATTTGATGAAACTATATGTTATTTATATCATGTCTAATTGTTATGATATTAATTTATCCTACCAATGACTGTGCAGTTAAGATCATTAGATATAAGTCTTTCGAACCTGAGTGAGCAAGTTGACTGTATTGTTAGTTTTCATGGTTTTTCCTGTGTATAACCTGAATATGAGCAGTTTCCCTTTTAAAGTCTTCCATGAAGGCAACCCGTCCCTTAGGCAGATAGCTCTTCTGTGCTTTATAAATTTTCAAATAACCTAACTTAACCTAACCTTTTACAGTGGAATCTCGAGATTCAAGCACCTCTATATACTAAAAATTTGAGATAAATTTGAGTGAAAAATTTGTCTCTAAATAAGAGTATTGACTCAAGCAATGAGCCACGCTGTTGCTATGTGTGGCACTATTTCCCAATCCGTCTCGACTTAGGAAATCCCCTGAGTCTTTTTTTTTTTTTTTCATTTAACGTGAAAATAATCATTTCACGATGCCTCCCAAGACGATTGTTCCCTCAGGTAGTGCTGCAAAGAAAAAGAATTTAAGCCATGGTCATTGAAATTAAGAAAGAAATCATTGATAAACATAAGTGTGGTGTAAGAATGACAGAATTGGCGAAGACTTATAGCTGTTCGGCTTCGACGATCTGCTTTATTCTGAAGAAAATTTGAAATAGCCCAAAGTAGTTACTTCCAAGTACCATTCAAAACTCCTAGAAAATGTTGAGAAGCTGTTGTTGGTGTGGATTAATAAAAAGCAGTTAAAAGACGATTCGGTGTCGGAAGCTGTTATGAGGTCAACTACGGTTACGTTATTTACCAATGTTATTTATTAGAAAAAAAAAATATGCTGATATTTTTGGGGGTGCAGAATGGATTAACTGGATTTCCATTCTTTTCAATGGGGAAGTTTGTTTCTAGATACGAGAAATTCGCTATAGGAGCTCAATGCTGGAATGAATTAAACTTGTATCTCGAGGTTTCATTGTATATTAATTTTTGTGTAAAATATTTATTATACTTTCTGATTTAAAAACATTTAATAAGTTAATTGGGGGGGGAATTGGAAATATCTAATTCAATTAAGCAGATCAAGTTTTTTTAATACAGTCAAAAGTCTTTAATCCAGACTTGTCGGTACTACGGCGATTTCGGATTATTGGTTTTTCCGGATTATAGATCATCAATTTAAATCTGGTACGATGGCATGCAAAAATTATAAAATTAAAAATATGAAACTGTAATTTATGAAATAAAGAGCAATTATGATCTAAAGGGTATCAAAATTTACAAAAAAAAAAAAAAAAAAAAAAGCTTAATATTTATTTCTTTATCAAACATTTCTTTCAACACGCGCATGCGTAAAGCACACATTACGCATAGTCGAAATTTGAAATACTTGAATTTTCAGAAAAGTAACCCCTAATCTCGAATCCCGACTAGTCCGTATTACGGACTTTGTACTGTATAAAATAAAATTTAAAATATTTCAGTTAAGTACATTAAAAAATTCTATTTTTGAAATTGAATCAAAGGACGTTAATGTAATGCTGGAGAAATTTTTGAAAGAATTCACAGTAGGTGTTTATGATGTCAATAATACATATTGCTTATTCATTATATTTCTTCTACAAATAAGTATTCTGTGATTAAAAATCAGCCTTTTTTTTTTTCAGTGAATTAAGCGTTTCTTTAAATTTTTTTCTCCTTCAGTTCAAATATAATTATTATTTTTAATTCTTCTTAAATAATTCATTAAATTTTTAAAAAAATTTTTTATATTAAATTCATTATGTTTCTTAAATAGGTATTCCTTGACACACCTGGTTTTGTTTCAGCAGAACAAACAATAAAGTAAGCACATTTTCTTAATGTATAAATTGATGTTCAGAATTTAATTCTGTATTAGTATTATGTTTTTTGTGGATAAAAATATTCATTTGATATGAAATTATTGTAGGCATAAATTAGAGCCATCTTTCATTATGGACCCATTAAAATCTATTAGAGACGCTCATCTAAGTGAGTATTATATTTTGTGTGAACAAAATGCTAAATATATTTAAATTTGTTGATACTGAATTTCATTCTGTTAACATTTTCATTCTGAATTTTATACACACATTGATTCCCGCAGTTGCTGTTGTCATAGACATTTCTAACAGGTGGACTAATAACAAAATCAATGGAGATATTTTAGAAGTTCTAAATGAATTCAAGCATAAAAAATCCATTCTGATACTGAATAAGGTAATATATTTATTGATTTATGCGTGTAATAATTTTGTGTTGTAATCAATATCTTTCATTTATGAGATTGCCTTACAGAAAGTTAATAGTATTTTTTACTAATGCTGCTATATAATTTTGTTTAGATTGGTTTTTCTGATTTATTGTTTGGTTGAAATTTTATGAATTCTGTTGAGCCAATTTTCTTGCAATTTGAATTGAAATGCCATATATAGGCCTTGGTACAAAATCATCTTTCCTTACTGCTCATCAATGAGTTTTGATGGTAGAAAACTCTAAAATTTTAAGAGGCATTATATTATGCTATCATGCATTTATTATCCTTATGTCTTCTTGTTACTGCATGATATGCACTGTATCACACCAGTAACTATTGTCTTTAGGTCTCTTGTAACAATGGTCTTAAAGTAACCTGTAATATCGGGTTTAATTTTAATTTAATAATCAAACTAAATTTACTGCACTGTGTCTCACTGATGACTGTTGGCTTTGGAAGTCAATGTATATATTTTTTTCAATAATGTAATTTACATATTAAATATATTTAATTTATAATGTGTATAACTGATAATTTTTATGAAAATCTAAAGCCTTCAATTAATGAAAGATGCTTGGATGCAAAAAAATTTCAGGATGGAATATGGAATTAGATTAAGCTCTATATGATGCTAGAATAAAAGAAATATGTGTTGCTGTGTGCGGAATGTGACAATTAATATGTGTAGAGGCCTGGCTAGGTTTCACAGTATGATATGATAGATTAACACACATAGATTTCAAATGGTTGAATTTAAATAATAAGCATTTAATTACAATAATTACCACATAACTAATCATTACATTAACATTGAAGATATTTGCATAGGTTCACAAATACGATCGAGCACGACGGCGACAGAGCGTAAAGTGATTTTAGCGCATCCCGAAAATCTCCATTACAGTTACAGCTGGAGATCCGGGCACGCGGTTGGCGAGTAATGGAAACAAATTCCTTTAGTATCGCCACAGTACTCCCCCTCCAGTGTCAACGAAATTAAAGTAACCGACAGTTAAATCTGACCCTACGTCCAGAACATGTATGCTGAGGAACATCTTGCTTCCGAAATCGAGGCACAGGTGATGATGCAGTGGCAACTGGAACTGTAGACACATGGGGTGAAGGTGTAGGTGACTTTGAAGGAGGCGTATTGCAGTATTGGTCTTGACAGTTTCTGGCACAAAAATAAAGGCCAGTTTAAGACGATGAATGCTCACCACTGTCTCTTTGTTACCGATAAGTATATGATAGGTCTTGGATGTGCAACCTAGAACCAGATGTGAGCCCATATAAATAGCTCCAAAGACTTTTTTTGAAGCATAACACTTTAAAAATACTGATGGTTTAGCGAGGTGTTTGAGAATAAACACAGGTCAGTGTACAAGAATGTACACTTGTGGGTGTAGGAGCTAATGCAGCCATGGCTTCATGCAATTGTCTGAGAAACACGTTAAGGTTTGACACTGCTTTTTTTTGTTTTGTTTTGTTTTGAGGGTTTATAAAATCTTCAGATAAATATGAATTGACACCATAGATCATTTCAACACTGGAAGAACCCAGGTCCTCTTTAAGAGCCATTCTTAATCCTAAGAGCACTGTGGTAAGAACATCAACCCAGTGAACATAAGTATGGCATCTAATGGCCTGTTTAAGAGAGCAATGAAATCTCTCGACAAGTCCATTGGAATTTGAATGGTACAGTGATGTGCGGATCTTTCTAGTTCGTAAGAATTTCGTTAATGCAGTAAATAATTGAGACATGAACTGTCGTCCCTGATCCGTGGTAATGCACTCGGGTACTCCAAACTGTGAGATCCACATGGAAAAAAATGTTTTGGACACTGTGTCAGCCAACATATCCACAATAGGGATAGCCTTTGGCCAGCATGTGTTCCTCTCAATACATATAAGGAGGTATGTATAACCTTGTGAGGGTGGTAAGGATATGGCTAAAGCAGATCGTAACTCAAAGTGTCGCAATGGAGTTCGAGTATGTCTCTGGATTTTTTACCTTTGACAATCTGCACATGCTCTAACCCATACAGCGATGTCCTTCTGCATGCCAGGCCACACAAAATGTTGAATTAACCTGTGGGAAGCATTGACGCCAGGATGAGATAAATTGTGAAGGCTGCTAAAAATACTAAGTCGAAATTTCAGTCGAGTGTATGGCCGCACCACATTCTCCTTCACATCGCAGTATAGTGAAAGATTTGGTTCCAGCTGCATAGGTAATAAATTAAGTCCATGCGAAGCCTTGTCAGATAAAAGATTCTGTAATTCTGAATCTTGTTTCTGACACTTTGCAATGGCAGAGAAATCTGTTGTTGAAGGCAATTGAACCAATTCTAGACAAAGCATCAGTAACCATATTTTGAGAGCCTTCAACATGCCTAATATCAGTTGTAAACTGCACTATGTAATCGAAGTGACGCATTTGCCTGGGGAAGGCCCCGTCAGGCTTTTGTTGGAAGGCGAAAATCAGAGGCTTGGTTGTTATAAATAGAAAATGCTCGATCTTCCTCCATATGAGGAAAATGTTTAATTGCCTCATATGCACTTAGAAGTTCACGATTATAAGTGTTATATTTTGATTGTGCTACAGAAAACTTTTTTGAGAAAAATGCCAGTAGCTTCTATGCTCCTTCTAAAAGCTGTTGCAAAACCACACCTATGGCCGAATTGGACACGTCTCATTGCTTTACACAATTTTATCATTCTACATTTAGTTTCTTAAAATGTTATTCATATTTTAGTCAAATATTTTATTTTTGAAATCGCAAGAATCATAAGATTAAAAAGTTTTAAATTTAAAAAAAAAAAACTAAATTTCATGCAAAAATTTATTTTTTCTTCTTAACGGCTTGCTCTTTTTCTTCATTCTGCAAGTATATTAAAAAGCATCCAACTTTTCGAAACATCTTGGTATTTCTGGCATTCATTTTAAATAAAGTTATCGCCTTCCATTCCATAAAGCCAGCAACGGCCGAACGCTAAAGTCCATGAGCACTGGTAGTTCACTCCGGGGTTCGAAAATGGGATGGTTGCTTGGGCATTTTTGTAGTTTTCTCATTGTAACATGTATGCCAGCTGGTTTCCCTTAGAAAGTTCTTCACGAAGGCCTTTTAAGGCAGATAGCCCTGCTTTGCCATAACTTAATAATGCAATTCAATCCATTTCATCAGTACTTGGTTTGACCCTTTATCAGTCTTTAGAGGCTAAGCATTTTAAGGTATGAGATGAAAGTAAAGACTGGTTTCATCAAGAGGGAAAACATGTTTAGGTGACATCCACATACATCACTGGATAAATTCATGAATATTCAAATAATTTGACTAAGAAATCATGGGATTTTCTGTTTATGATTATATGATGTTCTATAATGTAATTTAAATGTATAAAAACATATAGTCGAAAACCAGTCGCTCTTCACTTTAATCTGCAATGATACCGTCTTTGTCTTTTCCATTAGCACAAGCTCAGTTAATGGTATTTGCTAGTGTACACATCCTTTTTCTCTTTGAAAACTCAAATTCCTTGAAGTAGTCTGAAAATATATTCAAAAGCATCCAACTTTTCAAAATACCTTGGTATTTCTAACAGCCAAAATCCCCTTCAAATTTTTGCTTCGTTTTCTCTCTACATTTCTTCCTTCTACATTTATTTTCAGTGCTCACCACAAGAAAATTAAGATTTTTCGATTGTTACACTTCCATAAATTTTGCATTCTTGTCAATTTTTTTTTTTTTTTTTTTTTAAATATCAATTGCATCAACTGCGTTTCAGTTGAAGACAGCTTTTCATTTTATAGGCATTTTAACTATAAATAAAGTTTAAAGCAAAGTCCAAATGATAAATATGTTAATTAAAAGATTTTTTGCTAAATGGCAAGGAAATAAAACAGTTTAGCAGTGTTTATTCTGTACCACTGAGTGACCCAATTCTTATATCGGCTGAAACTATCTAAATCATATTAAAGATAATGGCTTTTTTTTTTTTTTTTTTTTTGGTACAATCTATAACGCGAGAAAAAAATTAGCTTCTTAAAATATATCTTTCTATGAGAATTAATATAAAGATTTATATATATATATATATATATCTATTTAAAGCTGGAACTTGAACCAAACTGTTAAACTTTTAAAGTTTAATTTACATTGTGGTTATAATTAAAGTTCCACTTTAATGTAGCGTCCAGCATTTTCCGAAAGCAAGTTATATCCTGTTACTGCATTCTCAACAGCAGCTCTTAGCATATCAGGAGGAATGTTACGGACATGTCAGTGTATCACATTTTTCATTTCTGCGAAATTGTTTAGATTATCACCATAAACAGTGCTTTTGAGATAACCCCATAGCCAAAAGTCACAGGAGATGAGGTCTGGTGACCGAGGTGGCCAAGAAGTGGGGAAGTGTCGGCCTATAAGACGTTCATTTGTGGAATGTTGACATATGTGAGGTGAGGCCCAGCCCTGCATAAAACCACATTACTGCAGTTCATGTATCACGAAACATTTTAACATTGACTCTAAGCGAGCTGCAGTCGCAGTGGTCCAGCTGTCAACTGCTCTTCAAAGAAAAATGATCCATTTATGAAACTAGCTGTGTGGAATGACTGCTATACAATGGAATGCAGTAGGAGAATGCAATGGAACTGAGTAGATAACATGAGGAATTTCTTTGACCCAAATTGATTAAAGCGTTTTGAATCAGTATCTTCATGTTTTAGGGTCGAATTCAGGTTTAAAAAATTACAAATTAGCGATCTGTAAGAAAACGATTTCCAGATTGTACGCACTTTTGTGATTGATTTGCGATCTCACATTTTCTAACCTTAAATTCGTGGCTTTCACGGAGGAATTTCTCCCTTACACAGATGGCGCACTCGACTTTGATCGACTTTAACGTCTTTAATTGGTAATTTGCTTAGTTCAAAGCTTCTCTTACAAATATTTTTAAAAAAATTGCAAAAAATCATCACATTTTTTTTTTATTTTATTATTAAATACAACAAAACAAAACAAATCAAAATATGTAGGTTTTAAGTTGAATTTTTAATTTTTTTGAAGGTGTAAAAGCATTTATTTTTAATATTAGTTTACTATCCCGAGTTATCTCGGGCAAACGAAAAAAGTTAAATATTAATCTTTGTATGATAGTTTTTGAAACAAGGGACAACACAGAAGTGATACCTGACGTTCTACTACATGGTATCTGGTCTCTTTTCTTACTGGCTTACCGCTGGAATCTCTTTCATGGGAGCATAGAGTACACTGTCTCGTTTGGATTTGATTTTTTTCCCCCCCCAACCTTTTCATAATCACTATCTGAAAAATTATCGCTTTCACTATCTTCCATCATCGCCATTATTTTATTTTTTTCCAACGCATGCATCCTTCTTTATACATTACTAATCCACAAGCCAACGTATACTATACAATAGGGAAACACGGGACCAGTCCCTCCAAAAGAACTGCGCAACCAACAAAATTTGGCAAACTGCCAATCGAAGCTAAATATTTCCTTTCATTTCCTCCAGATCGAGTAAAACCGTGATAAATGAAACAGTACTAACAAATTCTGCTTCGCACGAGTTTTCTCGGGATGATAATTAACTGCAATATATACGAACCCGAGACAACTCAGGATAATCAGGCAAGCGGTTAAGGGTATAAAACATGTTAAACCCGTGTAACAAAAGGTTAAGTTAGATTTCAACCCTTATTTCGTTTAACAATATTGCATACAGCGCCATTTCCCACTGGTGGTGAGGTTTCAAACTTTCTTTTTTCGTGGAAAATAACCGACCCATGACCTCCTTTACACGATTACCAAGTTTGATAACATTTGGTCCAGTACTTTTCATTTTATGACCATTTCAAAGTGGAACTGTAATTATAACCACCCTGTATATTATTAAATTTTAATTTGAAATTATGCGTTATATGTATACCATGCGTAAGATTTTTGCTTTTATGGAAAAAATAAAGAATTGATGCAAATATACTTAGGATAATGGACCAAAACTGAAAAAATATCCCCTCTCAAAAATAAAATATTGAAAATTCAACCTTGAATTTATTTGATTATCGAAATATTCAATTTGACTTATCTTCTAAATCCTAGTTCCGACAACAATTCCGTCAAAAAATTTAAAAAAATAGCTTTTCATAGAGTATTAATAAATATTTATTATGCATCACTGAGGGAAAAATTTCATATAATTAATTCTCCGTAAAAATTTATTTGAAATTTAAGGTTAAAAATAGCTGTGGCAATTCACTGTAACAAAAATCCATAAACCACATTTGGCGTTATTATCGCTCAAAAAAAGATGCCAAATTTCAATACGTGAAAATATGTAAATTCATGTATATCTTAAAGAATTTTGAATAAAAAACTCTAATTTTTTTCAGGTTTGCTTAAAACTACACCTGCGTTAAGATGATAGTAAAAATTTTATATGTTATAATTCAAAATTTTTTTCGAAAAATTTATAAAAATTATTTAAAAGTAAAACACAAAAAATGGCTGAATTTTATTTGGAATGAACCTAAGTTTCGTAATGGGAAAGGAAGAATAGAAAGAGATATTAATAAATATATGCCAACTTCAATTAACATTGAGGAGCTAAAATTTTGAGAGCTAATTTTTTAAAAACTACTCGTACGATTTTTACAAAACTTTGCAGTCTGGCATATTTTGAGTCGTATAATCTAAATATGTAAAAAAATTGGTATGTCATTTCAGAAAAAGTCCGATTTTGTGTCAAAATACCTATGTTAGAATAGTGCTATATATAAATTTAATATATATCCTAAGTTACGCTTTCGACACACGAAAAACGCAATTTGAACTTTGTCAATTGGCCGATTAGACCAGGAGATATGGAACTGTCCCCCGCTTTTTTTGCACACTGTACAAAGGCTGTGCAAATTTTGCCCAACCAAATAATTGGCCACATATCTTTCTTTTTTGCTGCTGATTAAATATGTATGCAAAGGTGCCTGCTTTGCAGCTGCATGAAGGAGGAAGTGCCGCTAAAAGTTTAACATGGCCAGAAAATGGCGCAACTCCTGGACAGTTTTGGATGCTGGGAAATTTTGTATTGCAGTAACTCTACCACTACGTGGGCGAACACCCTCCGAGGAAAGCTCGTGACCAAGGAATGACAACAGTTACAGCTAGAGATTCGGACACTCAGTTGGCGAGTAATGAAAACAAGTTCCTTTAGTATCACCACATATGGTTTTGAATTTAAATCGCTGATTAAACTAGAACAATTTTTACAAATATGAAAAGTTTGAAGAAAGTTAAATTTAGAAAACTTTGAAAATGAAAAAAGGGAAGTTTTTTGAATAATTTTGACAAAAGAAAAATAAACATTTAAATAAATGAGATAAATATGCAGTTTGTGCACCAGCAAATACTAGATTCATTTTCCTTGGTGTGATATTTAAAGAACATTTGGTTTGAACTGATGTATTTTTTACTTGATATAATCTGTATATGTTTTTGAGCATACATGTTGTATGTTGTGGGAAATTATTTTTTTCACATGTAATTTAAATAATGTGAACAGTTTTTAAAAGGTGAAAATTGTTGCTATTGAGATGATGCAAAGCCTGTGACTAACCAATGACATCTGCTTGTAAGGTACTCCGTTTGGAACTGAACTGATGTTCAGTTATCAGTCCATTTAGAACTGAACTGATTGAAATGGTAAATCATTAAACTATTGTAAAACTTTAGATTGATACGTAAAATGAGCATAGATTTATATAAAACTATATGGATTTCAAAATAGATTGACATAGATAGCTTTTCTTTGAGAGTAAAATGTTATTGCTAGGCAAAGTGGAATAAATAGCTAAATGGAATTAATGATATTAGGAATGTAATTTAATACTTTTATGATATATGAAATTCCCACAACTGCATCACTGCTAGCCACACACAAAACTTTCGAATTTTCAATGTATGAGGTGTGACACAAACATACACACACACCAAAAAAAAAAAGTAAAAGAAAAGCGAAACTAAGCATGTAGATTGAAAACAGAGTGGAGTTGGCAACAGTTGTTTTGGTGATGTCATGCCACACACCTCCTCTATCCATGCGGCCAGTTTCGACTTAACCAACCACGCCTATGGGGATTACTGTGTCATTGAGTGAACATGTGCAACTGCATTCTGCTGGAAAAATATCTAACGTAAAAATCTAACAGCGAATCAACATCAAGTTTCTTGTGATATCAGCCACAGAGGAAACATTTCAAATGTTAACTGAGGCTTATAGAGATGAAACTTTGTCTCATGTATGTGTGTGTGAATGACAAGCGATTTCAGGGGGGTGACAATGCGGAAACTAGCATGTTCATCATGATTGAATGGGTTCCCAGTGGTCAGACTGTTAATCAACACTATTACATTGAAGAAAAAGACTTCATGAAAAAATTAGGAAAAAAAAGGCAACAGTTGGGCAATGATGGATGGCCTTTGCACCAGGACAATACACTGGCTCACACAGTTTCTGACCAGCAAAAACATTACTGTGATTGGGCATCCTCCTTATTCACCTAATTTGGCTCCATTCCACTTTTTTATTTCCTAAAGTTAAATCTTGCTTAAATGGAAGCCTTTTTACCTCAGTTGATGTTCAGGCAAAGATAGAGAATCCCCTGTAGGTCTGAAGCGAACTACTTTGAAGGTGATAATTTCACGGAGAACTGATTCTGTGAATACAATAATTTATTGGACCAGTCTCGTTTTTTATGTGTCACACATGGTATTCCCCCTTCTCCTCCTTTTTTATTTCTTTTTTGCTAGATTAATTTGCCAATAACTTATTTTGTTCTTGGCTGAACCTATTTATTACCTTATTTACTTGTCTTTTTTTTTTTCCCTTTTAATCTTGAAGAAGTGGTACCTATGTCAGTTGCTCATGAAATCAACAGAGTTTTATATAAAACTTTTAAATAGAGTGTTTAAAATTTTCCTTTTGTCTCACTGTACATTTTTCATCAGCATGTTTCTCTTCAATATAGATTTGGGTTAACTTTGAAATTTCACTCTATGTAATTTTTAATTCTTTACAGATATGTGTGGATGTATTATATCTGAGTTAAGTTCAGTTTTTGATTCCATCTTCCTCTCTTAGGTGGATGCAATGAAATCCAAAACCAGGTTATTAAGTTTAACTCGAATTTTAACTGGAGGTGGTGTTAGCAACATTTTGGATTCTAATTTCGAGAAAACTTCAGGTCTGGAAGAAATGATAGAAAAACAAAAAGAACTCAAAATCAAAGAATGTGATGAAGATGAAAATGAGGAACAGAAGAGAGGTTGGCCATTTTTTTCAAATGTTTTCATGGTATCTGCCTTGAAAAATGAAGGAGTTGATGATCTCAGGGTAATTATATCTTTATGTATGTGTATATATTTATATGTATGTATGTAATATTTTACACTAGAAAATAGTTAATTGCATCTTTATAATCATTAATTTGTTTAAATTTTTTTTTAGTCCAAAGGGGCTTTGTCCCTGAGGAACTATTGTTTTCGTTTTGCGATTTTGCATGGAATCATTCTGAATGTCCGTTTCACTTTTCAAACTGTTGCCACCAAATATTATCGCTCTGTATTATATTTGAAGAAATGAAATAATGAAGAATCTGCATAAATATATGTATGTTTCTTGCATTGTGATAAAACAATGGTACCTAGAGCCATCAAATTTTGAGTGACATAATCCTACTGCAAATATGGGTATCTGGAACCCAGATTAGAAATTTGGAATCTGTTTTATTATCAATTTCATATTTTTTAAAACTTTAACAAATTTACAGAATTTTTTTTTTTTTTTTTTAATCTCCAATGCTTGAGACTGCGTATCATAAATTCTAAAGATATACTCAATTTAAAATTATTTTGCGATATTGAAGTAAATTTTATGGTTTAAGTGCAAAGAACATAATATTTAATAAATAAAGGTTACACACGAAATGTTAAAAACACCCCTTTGGAGGTAATTTAAAATCTGAAACTTTTTTTTTTTTTTTTTTTTTTTTTTTTTTTTTTTTTTTTTTTTTTTTTTTAGGAACAGTGACAGCATTAAAAATACATTACATTAAGGGGGTATGAATTATTTTTAGGCTTACATAGAAATCTTCAAAAGAATATTTTTCGGAACAGCTGCATTTTAATATTGACTATAATTTTTGAGTTCTTAATTAGATTCATCATTAGATGCTATGTTAGTGTTTTAATAAAACTTGGAAGAAAATTTCATGGTTTTTCATTGTGTGTATTTTGTGTCCTATCAAAATAGAAATGGTTGCCCTTTTTTGTTTTTGGAAATATTTGTTCTTATCCTCCTATACAAGTATAAAAAAGTACATATGTATAGTTTGAATAATAATTCTTTTTTTTTTTTTTATGAAATCGGGAAAATCTCTTGTGGCATTAATTTAATAATTATCTGCATTATGCAAAACAACATAATCTGTGTAAGAGTTAATCAGTTAGTATTTGGGGACACTGCAGCAACTCAAATAAGAACCTTGATTTGTGTCATAGCTTTTTTTCTGTGATTGAACAGCCAAAATGAAGAAAGGCTTTTGTGCAAATGCCCTGAGCAAAGAAGATATAGAAACAAAAATGAGATGTGATATTTAATATGAAATAAAATTTGAGCATTTTCCAGCGGTGGAAGTAAAGGGTGATGCCAGATATGGCTGTGCAGGAAGCTGCAGGGGACATTCATTGGTACATCTCTGGGATGCTTTGATATGTTGTTGTATTGAGTAGCCCACACCTTGCTTAAAATCCTCCTTTGTAGAAATGCCCTGTAATTATTTAGAATTCTATGATGTGCAACTGAGAATGTAGATCAGTAAGTGGCACTTCAGGATATGGTTGCCAGGATGTGTGTCTCTCTTTGCAAGAGCATGTTTTTGAAATTCATTCTTTAACTTGTATGACTACCATAACTGTTTTGCTTAAAACTATTTCAAATGTTAATTGGAATCTAAATCTGATTAAATCACATTAAAAAATGTTTATATTTTTTATTTTTAACATTTTAAAAATATTTTAAAATTTTTTCAAATTTTCAGTGCATATTTTTGAGTTGTTAACCTATAATTAGAAGTTTTCAGATTGTAATTTTTTGAACTAATTCACCTAATTTAAAATATATACTATTTAACATACAAAATATCCATATGTTAATTTTTAAAATTATGTGCAGCATTATTGTTATTTTTTATCATTATTATTTTTCTAGCTTCCTCAGCTGCAGTATTTTAAGTGTAGTATTTCATATATTTTTTAAAGTATTTCATATATTATAGAACAACAGCTGAGAAAAGAATCAATCAAGATTATGCAAATTTTAAAAGGATATAGTCTATGTGAGGCTGAGTTTTTCAGTAGTTAGGGAGAATATGACAACTTGGACCAGACCACAGATCTGTTCATAGTCGTGGTGGATATGATCTGTTTGAAGATGAATCAGTCAGTAATTTGAAGAAACTGTGGCAGCATATAAAAGACTATGGTCTGTGCATATTTCAAAACAATATAATCTACATGAGAGTTAATCAGTTAGTATTTGGGGACACTGCAGCAACTCAAATAAGAACCCTGATTTGTGTCATGTTGAGTTGGTTAACAGTTGGAGAGACTGCAACAATTTAGAAGGAAAATTTAATTCCTGGAAACTTCAAAAGGACCTTGCTTGCATTATAATGAGTTCATTTCATTAGTTAGGGAGACTGAAACAAAACTTTGGAAAATATAAGTAAAGGAAAATATAAGTAAGTTCTGGCCTAAAAGGATAGCTTTCACACCATGGGTTAAAATTGTGTTATCTTAGCCCTTGGTTAGCCCTTAATAAAGTGCACTTTTCATCTGTTCACATCAAAGTAGATGTAATGAAAAATCTTGAGTAAACAGTGGACAGAAATACAAATAATTTTCATTATCCAAGTATAAAAATTCCAAGTAAAGGAATGCATTTTTTATTGGTGCTCCAGTTTAGTAACTAATGAGTGATTTTAAATTTCCATTAAATAGTATATTAAAAAATGGAGAGCAGTAATTTAAATTGTTAAGGAGCATGCTTATTGTTTTTAAATTCCTTGGTTTGCTTTGCAGATTTTTCAAACTTAAAAAAACCTTTAATCTTTGCTGAAAGATAACACTCTGAGAACTAACTGCTTGCAGTGGCGATAAATTAAAGATTGTGTGTTTCGTTCTGTGGTGTTAAAATATGGTGATATATATCTTGGTATCACAGCAGTAAAAAGTTATGCAGTAATTTAATGAGCTTTTAGAGAACTTGGGAGTTTAATATAGTACTTAAAATTCATTTTCTGAATTTCAGTTTTTACTTTTTTCTCATAAAACTTAATAATAACATAAACATATAACTTTAACATAATATAATAAGCTGTGTATGAGAAGTATGAAGAACTTTTCTACTTGTATAATTCAATAAAAATCTGTTATAAAGAGTAAGATATATGAATGCTGATTTGTAATACTTTTCAGGTGTAGGAAAGGGGACAACAGAGATAAAATGCTGAAGTAAATCAAATCTTATTCTAAGTAATTGTCATTTATAGAAATGAACTTGTGTATGTAAAGCAAAAATTAAAATATGAAAACCAAGTAATTCCAAAAACAATGCCAGATCGGGAAGTTTGGTAGTTAGAGTTGAATTGAGTGGGTGGTGGAGGGAATGCTGCAAAGTTCAGTATTTCAAAATTCTGTGACGAAAAGGCATGGTGAATTGTGTTATATATTGTTAATTTATATACAGTCAAAAGTCGTTAATCCGGACTCGTCGGGACTTCAGCGATTCCAGATTATAGATCATCAGTTTAAATCTCGTAAGATGGCATGCAGAAATTCTAAAATTAAATATATGAAACCGTAATTTATGAAATAAAGAACAATTATGATCTAAAGGGTATCAAAATTAAAAAAAGCTTAATATTTATTTGTTTACTTTATTAAACATTTCTTTCAATGTAAGTTGTTTAATTTGTGCTTCGTTTTATGTGATAATACTTTCTCTTTAATTCTATAAACAGACATAATTTCTTGTTCAGTTACAAAGTTCCGCTGTTCAAGTCCTGTAATTGCTGTGCCGAGAATACCGACTAACTTGTCAATCGAAATTTTTTCGTTTTCACTAACCTTTGTGTCACCTTCTTCATGTCTTTATCCATTTTTTGCAGCAATTCCACTTTTTGTTTGATGGACATCGAAACATACTTTTGTTTTGTAGATCCTTTGGGAGCTCCAGCATGGGAAATTCTATTTGACATAATCAAAAGTTCAAGTTTACTTTTATAAAATTGCTCTTACAGTCTGCAAAAAATAATAAGCCGGATCCAATTAAGATTAAGGAACAACGCAATCATCAACATCAACTGAAATAGATAATTTTAGCTTATACCATCCGTTATACATTAAACGCGCACGCGGAAATGTATTCTGCGCTTGCGCACTCGCATATGTGCAGTCATAAAGGTCTTACGCGCATGCATAAACGTCTATGCGCATGTGTCAACGCGGCGCATGCGCAGAAAGTTCTTAGCTTTGAGGTCCGGATTATGGGTGTCCGAATTAACGACTTTTGACTGTATTATCAGTTTTTAAATTTTGTCAAGTTTAGTTTTTATGTTAAATATTGTTAAAGTTTCTGCATCAATGTAAAATTAATATTCTTGCTGTGAGAAAGTATGATGCCAAAAAAAGTGTCTGTTGCATATTAAAATTCAGTGTATTGTCTATTGATCTAGTGCTTTACTAATTTTAACAAAATGATGATTCTTCCATGTCTTATAATGGATCTCTTCCTTGGCAGAGGTATCTACTGAATGAAGCTGTACCTGGCAAATGGATGTACCATAGCAGTGTAGTAACAGATCAGCATCCACATGAACTAGCCCTGATGATAGTCAGAGAGAAGTTGCTGGATTATTTGCCAGAGGAAATACCTTATAATATAAATTTGGTTTGTATTCAATTTTTGAAGACCATTGTTCAAAATACTTTTTTAATGCAAAATTCCAAGTTTATGAAGTGTTTTCTAGTCTTTCAGTAATATTTAAAATAAAATTAAATTTATGTACGTGTTTATAATTTCAGTGTTAGATGTATCCTTAAGAGTGTAAGGAAACTGTGTAACATTGCATTACCATGCATTTGCCATCGATGTCGCTTGGCAAACATTTACATTAAAATTGCACTGCCTTAAACTGCTAACTGTCAACTCACAGATCATAGGTGACCAGTGGCATTGATATTCACTACTGTTGTTCTGTTAATTTTGTTTAAGTAATTTATCTAAATTTTCAATCAATCCTTTAGGATACTGGTGACAAACAGCATCGAAAAGTAATGTCTTTCCATTCAACCTTATTTTAGTATCTAAATATACTGCTCTACCCCTCATCAGTGGGACTTTTAGATTGATTGTGAACCCAACAGGTCATTGGTTTTAAAGTTAATAGTATCGTTTAATTTCATTTAGTAATCTGGTTTAATATACTGTGCTTCAGTACACTGGTGACTCTTTGCTTGTAATTATTGATGGCCAATGACCTTGATTGTTGCCTTCAATTTAATTGTTTGCTGATTTTTTTAAAAAAATCAGCATGCATTTTTATTTGTGTTTACATAATAAAAAATCTGATGTGTACATCGCATGACTTCCTTGTACAGAATATTAAATTATATGCAATTTTCCTGCACTTAAACATACTAGACATACTTAACTTATACATAACTTTATACTTAAACATACTAAATTAACAGATAACGAATTTTGAATTAAATCTACTTCGTCAATAGCGCATAACCCACAATAGAATAAATGCACTCTTTAAAGTTCACTATATTTATTTACCATAGTGACACTTTGGCGCTAGGTTCACTTAATAGTTTTACATCTCATTCATTTTTAAATTCAGAGGGCACAAAAATTATATCATTTGAAAAATTACCACAAGTTCTATTCAAATCTAAAATGATGTACGTAGGCTGTTCAATAAGTAATAAGACTAATTTTACTGTTGCGAAACCACTCGTCGGAATGTTAATTTCTGTGGCATAAAAAAAGTTTGTTGTCTATATTAACAAAAGCTACCGATAGATGGCGTGTACAGGCTCATGTTCCTGAGTATTACGTGATTGAACTGAAGTGTGTTAGCGGGCTCCTACGAGATGCGGTCAGTTTTTGAAATGGAAGTGTCGATGGAACAACGTTATGCGATTAAATTTTGTGTTCGTCTGCAAAAATCAACATTGGAGACATTTGACATGATACATGAAGCTTTCAACAATGAAGCATTAGCGAGGGCAGGTATTTTTTGCTGGTGTAAAGCTTTTAAGGAAGGCAGGCAAAATGTGGAAGATATTGAATGTGAGGGACGACCTTCAACGTCCGTCACAGAGACAATAATTAACACAGCTACGGTTATCATCAAGGAGGACCGCAGAATTACAGTACATCAGCTGCATGCTCTCTCGAATATTTTTGTAGGAAGTGTTCACTCAATCATGGCAGAAAATTTGCAATTGAAACGTGTTTGTGCGCGATGGCTTCCGAAATTGTTGACAACCGAGTGAATGCACTGTGCATAGAATGGAAAGATAGACTGGAACAAGAAGGTGAAAATTTCTTAAAACGCATCATCACAGCAGACAAAGCTTGGTTGTACAAGTATCACTATGACTCAACTATGAAACAACAAAGTAGTGAATGGAAGCATCCGTCTTTGCCTACTCCCAAGAAAGCAAAAACTGTGAAATTGGCTAGTAAAGTTATGGCCATAATTTTTTTTATTATGAAGGAATTGTGTATGAACACGCTGTCGAACCGGTAATACCATAAACAGCTCCTACTACACAAATATCCTACGAACAATGGTACAGCACATTCAAAGGAAACATCCATTGCTCCGACGTGGCTTCTGATTGCATCATGACAATGCCCGACCACATACAGTACAAAACCCATAATTCGAACTCGTCTGGACTTCGGCGATTCTGGATTAAGGGTTTTTCCGGATTATAGATCATCAATTTAAATCTGGTAAGATTATATGCAGAAATTATACAATTAAAAATATAAAACCTGTAATTTATGAAATAAAGAGCAATTATAATCTAAAGGGTATCAAAATTTACAAAAAAAAAGAGCTTAATATTTATTTGTTTACTTTATCAAACATTTCTTTTAATGTAAGTCCTTTAAGTTGCTTCGTTTTTTGTGCTAAACGCGCATGCGTAAACATTAAACGCGCATGTAGAACATTAAACGCACATGGGTAACATTAAACGTGCCTGCGTAAGTTTGTGGCTTTGATGTCCGGATCATAGATCATTCCGGATAATGGACGTCCGGATTACAGACTGTACTGTATTGGTTGTTGTGTACAGTATGTTTTGCAGCAGAACAACATAGAGATATTACCACACCCTCCATGAAGTCCTGATCTTGCTCCATGCGATTTCTGGCTGTTTCCTGAACGTAAGAAACCATTACGAGGCAAACATTTTGCAAGCAACAAAGAATGTGTAAAGGCTGCAGAGGCAATTTTGAAAAAGCTCTCAAAAAGTGGACTTTTGCATGTTTTCCAGAAGTGGACAGAACATTGGGATAAATGCATTGCGTGCCGTGGTAGTTATTTTGAAAAAGACCATGTAAATGATGACGGTTTAAGGTATTCTGTATTTTTTTATAATTTTAGTCTTATTACTTATTGAACAACCCTCGTATAAAAGAAATTAAACAAATAAAAAAGAAACAGTTTTTCACAGGCGATTCAGCACCACTTACCTAATGCATATGCACTACTGATTAATTCAGTTCTCACTTCACGGCAAGACGTACTTTGTTGTTGCTAAGCTTAGTTTCTCTAGATAGGTAACAAGTCCACTATTCTGCTAAGTTTCAAATATAAACAAATATGGCTGCCATGTAAAACAAAAATTAGGCTTAGCTGCACTTAAAAACTTTTAATTGTAGATATTGTAATTAAATATCTACAATTATATTGCTGCTGGATATTGTAAGCTGCACTTAATAAACTTTTAATTGTAGATTCCAGAATTATTGCATGCAGGTTAACTAAAGGCATAAAAACTTTAACCAGAAGATAAGAACAACATAATTCAGTCATTTTTAAAGCAAAAAATGCACAATGTACAAAAACAGAGCCCTTTTTTCGGGCATAAGAAGTTTGTCTTTAAGCTAGAAATAAATCTGATATGAGATGAATAGTCTATTAAATTATCCCCCCCCCTGAAAAAAAAGAAGAGGACGATTTCAGAAATAAAACAGATCATATGTATTAAAGGATATGGAGAAAACATTGCATTTGCTAATAATTACTGGCAGAATTGACATTGACAGCAAATTGCATCATCATAAACATTAAGAAAATTCAAATGTCTTGTTAACTGATTAAGACAAACCATTCAGAGGTACCTGAAAAAAGATGTTCAGAGGTACCTGTTAAAAGATGTCCATAGAGAACATTCTAAGGGAAACTGGCTTATATGTACATTGTACATGGAGAAAATTATGAAAACTTTAGTGCAATAGAAAGGAAATTGGTGTAATTTTTTGCTCTTAATTCAATAAATACATTTAAAAACTTTATAAACTTTCCCAATTAAATAATAACTATATACAAATATATTAAAAATGGAATTATTTTTTTGAAACTCTAATTATGAGGCATATCCAGAAAGTAAATTCTCCTAGAATCATAAATGGAAAGAAAATATAATCACATGCAAACATTTATTAGCACTGATAAAGCAATGGCTTAGCTATTTTTCAACATTTTTACAACTGGAACTTGAGACACGTATGAAATTGTGTGATCATATTTCATATTCCTCTGTTGTAGAATTCTTTTACGAGGGAGTGTGTTACCTAGCAGTATCTATACCCTTTCGTCACTGTAAAAATGCTGACCAGACAGGAATTTTGTTTTAGGTATAAAGGAAATTACTGGGAGTAACATCAAAACTATGCTATGCATCATCAAACATTCTTAGCAAAAGTGTTACAGAAGAGGTGTTGTGCAATGAGTCATATGTGGGGGAGCGCTATCACAGATCAACACAGCACTTGCATTGAGTATTCCATGCCTCTTGTTCTGGATGGCCCATCACAGTTTCTGCAATGTTTGATAGTAGTCATCAGTGTTTATTTTTTCATTTGTGGCCCCAAAGCTAATGATCAGAATGTCTTTTTTATCCCAGAATACCATGTATGTTAATTTTTTTGCATTTGTTCTGCATGGAAATCGACTGTGTGGGCAATGGATCAATTACTGCTTGGTTTCTGAGACAAAGGGAGCAACTCAGATTTCATTGCCTGAGGTAAACATATTAATTCTTTTTGCATTTGTTCTGCATGGAGATCCACTGTGGTGGCAATAGATCAGTTTCTGCTTGGTTTCTGGAAGAAATGAGCAACTGAAGTTTCATTTTCTGAGATAATCATATTCAGGAATTTACCACCATCATTGCCTGGATCATTGAGTGCAGTGTTTAATAATGGTGATCAGTGTTTATTGTTTCACCTGTGGCCACAAAATCAATGCACAGAATGCCTTTTCTATCGTGGAATACCATGTACTTTTTTTTTTTTTTACAATGGATCAAATTCTGCTTGGTTTCTTTGACGAAGTGAGCAACCAACGTTTCGGTGCCTGAGATAATCATATTAATTTTTTCACATTTGTTCTGCATGGAGATACACTGTGGTGGCAATGGATCAAATTCTGTTTGGTGTCTGGGACAAAGTTAGCAACCGAGGTTTCATTGCCTGAAGGTTGTTGAGGAATTCACCATCATAATAGTATTGCTGCAGAAATGTCAATATTGATTCCATGCATTACCTTTTGTGTTCAAGTGTTTGGCTGTTTGACATCTCCCTGTATCACTGAGTGGATAAGATAACTGAATACAAGTATCTTGATTCAAGTTCAAATCCTAGCAGATATGCTGGCTATCTTAGAAAATCTTTCATGAAGATATCTCTTCATTTAAACAGATAGCCTTTTTTCATCATGGTATTCAATTAAATAATCAAACAAAATGGGGTTCTAAAAATAACTCAATTTATGTTGTTATCAAAATTATATTTTTATAATGATTTATTTCTTAAAAAATATCAATACACTTTTTTCTTTTCTCCCTTTCCAATTTGTACAGTAGGTAAACTCTATGGGAATTGGAAGTGTTAAGCAGCAATATGAAACTATTAAAATAAAAGGTACTCTAATTAAAAAAATATTCATTATGGCACAAATATACTTTTTGAGAAAGTTAGAAAGTGTTTCGTATTTTGGAACATGTTTGAGAATGAGCACCAGTAAATAAAAAAGAAATAAGACATGATTTTAATATTAATAGCACAAAAAACTTGCGATTTTAATTTTTTTTTTTTTAAGTTTGCTAAAGAAAATGAGATTTTCAAGTATCTTTCTAATGTCATTAAAGAAAACACATTCAATTTAAAAGTTACTTTGAGCACATCAAAAGTAATAGCATTTTATTCTGTTTAGATAGATCAGGGGTGATTGTGGTCTGGATACTGCTGGAATTCCAGATACTTTCTCAAATCCAGAATTTTTAAATTTATGAAATTTTCACTCATCATCTTTTTCAAATTTTATTTTGAATAAAACAACATCATTCAGATTTTACTAAAATTGGAAACTGTTAGACTATGTAAACCTTTAACACCAAATACGTTTGGACAATTTTATTGCATAGAAACAGAAGCAACTCATATTGTAAACTTTTGGGCTGAGAGCAGATAGAGAACAGAAATAACCATTATTGGCAAAACTGATTAAATCTGTTGTAACTTGTTTCCATGGACCCATTGTCAAAAGTTCATTTAATTATATGGCTGATACGAACATTGAACATCTCTCATCTCCGATATCCTAGTTGTAGAGACTATAAAATATTTATTTCAATTACACAAAAATGCATGTGAAACTCTTCGAGCAGAAAATTCGTTTGAAGACTGTGGAGATAACTTATAACTGATTAGCTGACGGAAAAAAAAATTTTATATTCCATGAACAATTCTGTTTTTTTCTAGCAGTTTTTTTATCTCCAATACTTGCTGATATTTGTACTTCAAGCTCAAATCTAATACCTAATGGTTTAAGTGAAAAGCCACTTAACCAAAAAAAAAAAAAATTGGTAACTGTGGCAAGTGTTGTAGTAAAAATATGAATTCATTTTTAATTAATTAAAAACATTATATTTTTTGCTTGGCTGCTGAAATTGTTTGAAAATATTTGTGTCATACTGTATGTAGGTATTGCATTAATATTCTTAATCTCATTAATATTCTAAATTATTTTAAATCATGCTAGATTTTTACTTCATGTTAGTTTTCAGGATTTTTGAGATGAGGTTACAATCACCCCCAATAAAAATCTGGTTTAAAAGAGTATATCTTGCATCATTAAAACTTTTTATATGAAAAGATATACTTTATATGAAATTTTATATGAAAAGAATATATACATAGAATTTTCAGGTGAACTATTGTAATTAAAATACATTGGAATGGTTCGTCAGCTAATTCTGGATACAGAAAAGCAAGAGGTTTTAATAGAAGAGAGATTTTAATTGATTTAAATGTACCCTCTTCCTGATGAAGTGGCATTGAAGTTGATTGAATTCTTCTTGTTTTTTATATATTATATTCTTTAAATTTCATTTTTTTTAATTAGGGTTTTGCTTGCTTGAAGTATTTTAGTTTTAACATTTATTTATTAAATTATTTTATGCATTTATAGGATATTTTTGAAAATGATTATGTATGAATTTCAATTTTTGTTCTTTGTGTAAAATTGGTTTTAAATTTCTTTCTTTATTATGTCCTTACTGATAATTTTTGTTTTTATGATCTACTTTCTACTTATTTTTATATATTCCTTTGACACACACAGTTGAAATTTTACCTCTGCATTAAACTTCTGTATAGTTTTGAGTATCAGGAAAGTTATGTCTCATTATTTCAGCTTATGCTAGGAAAAACTAGTTAGGAACTCTCCTTTCATCCTCCATGTAATTGAATTAATAAATATTAATTCACTATTGAATCTGTTTATCTTACAGTTGTTAATTTATCTAATGTAAAACCATACTCACTTTTTCTAATTTGTGTTAATGTTTTTTACAGAGAGTATCAAAATGGGAGTTATTGAGCACAGGCTGTCCTAAAATAGATATAAAAATCATTTGTCAAAATTCCAGGCACAAGGTAAATTGATCAAAATTTCATTTTCTTAATTAAATGCTTCTCATGATTAATTATAAGAAAATTACCAGGGTATTAAAATATGACTGATAAACTAAAATTTCTGATATGGCAGGTATATGTATTTGTGTGGCAGGTAAGTGGTTTTGGATATTCTGACAGTCATGTCACTTCCAGTACAGTGAGAGCTCTATATTTTCAGTTACATGTGACTCTTATGAGAGCACAAGTAGGTAGTATTTTAATTCATGAGCAAAGATTCTGATTTGACCTTACATGTCTCTCAAAAGAATGAGACCAGTAAGTAATGGTATGCTACCAGCACTTTTATGCAAGCCGACCATTGTTCACTGAGATAGAAATCTTTTTACTGATTAATTTTTTTTTAACATTCTTTTAACTTAAAAGAAAAAATTAAAGGTTAACTGGCATAAAAGTGGCAGCAGTTTTACACCAGGCCACCATGCAAATAAGATCTTAATTTATTACTCTGAATAATAAAGCAAATGAAATTCTTGCTTACATTGTGATGTCTCAGCATCTTTATAAAAGCTATTTTCTTTAGATCTTCATATTTGCACAGCCAACCTTCTGAAGGTCTTTAAGAACAGTGGCCAACTTGCATAGATGTGCCATTTTTATTACGAAGGCATCGCTGAAGAAATGTACAAAAATTAATAGAACTGCATTCATGCAAAAATTAACAGAATTGCATTCATGGTAGACATTGCTTCCATATTATCTGCAAAGCTACTTAAGGTTCAGGGTTTGCAGATTAACACGTTGAACCCGACACCAAATTTGCTGTCCTTTCTGTTCAGCAGGCACAAGCCATCAAGCGGTGAAATGTTGCAGGATGATCCGTGACTTCATGCACTGAGTAGAGCTTATCTGTTGGTGAGCTTTGTCGGCTAACAACATACAAGCCCTACCTGTATGTCACAAAGCTCGTGGTCGCAAATATTAATACTGTCGGTTCTGAGGACCGAGGCCAGTTGAACGAAAATTCCGACGCCAGCCAAACAAAAGTTCCAGTGCCAGTCCCCTGGGACTGATGCTGGCCACACAGAAAGTTCACTGCCGGTCCTGAAGGACAGGCGACAGGCTCAACATGTTAAGGTAGTGCTGATCCCAGAAAGGGTGCCAGCTGACAATAACCAACCGTGTGAATTTTTATTAATAATTATGTATTTATAAACAGATATTTGGAAAATAATTAAAATAGAAAAATCTGTAATGATAGAAATTGCATTTAATACAAATATATAATGAAAATAAATTTAGAATGAAATGAAATTATAAAATTTGTATATATTTTGGGCCATTGTCAGAGCTGTTGCAATTATGCTGGGCTACAAAATTTAGGGGCAGGAAAGTTCTAAGCCGGGAAAAGCAGAAAGTATAACACCGGCCTTATGTATATTTTCAATATTTCTTTGTGAAAATGTCTGTTGTATTCTTTTCTTTAGAGTTATATAATTGAATGAATACAGCAGCTTTGTGGAAAGATGTGATGGCATTAATTCAACCTCACTTTATTCATTCATGCAGTCTAACAACTTTTATACAAATTTTAGTGTCTCGTCATTATTATTTGTGTTATTTTTTCTTTACCTTACTTTTGTATTTATGTCTTATGTGGGCTTCAGTTGAATCTCTTTACTAAATTGTCTTAGTCGTATTAAATCCTACTGCCTCGAACTTTACCTATATCTTCCTATTTTAATTCATTTTTAGCTGTGGGAAAAAGCTTGCTGATGCATAAACATATTCCAAAATAAAGCAATCATTTTTAGTGCAAAAATTCATAATTGAGTGTACTTATTTTTTGACGAGTACGAATAAAAATTAGTCAAATCTATATCTTTAAAGCTTTGAGTAAGATGTATAATACAATGTAAATAATCATCTCACTGTATAGATTTTCTGGTATATTCTTTCTGTTGGTTTTCAGTGGTAATGAAAAAAATATAAACTTGAGCTTTGAAGTAATTAAAATCTTAAAATTTTTGCAACATCATAAATAAGTTCTGCAGTAAATACATGATAGAAAAGTATTCACAAGTTACTTAAAATTGCTTTGGGGCCAATGGTTTAGTTCATTAAATTTTTGTACATAAATGTTTGATTATAAAATGTAATTTAATCATTTAAAATATGCTTTTGTTGCTCTGTTTCTTCTGAATCCTCATCTATCCTTGATAAGAAATAAAAATGGAAAAAGCTGGTCTTGAAGGCCTTGATGGTCAGAATATTCAAGGTAGTGCTTAGAAAGTAAAAAATCGAATAGGCCAAGTCATATTTGAATGCGATAGTAGTTTGACATTTAAATATATAATAAGATATTCTCAGTTTTTCAAATTAGTGTTTCATTTTATACACTTGTAGCTCTCACAGGCAGGGCATGTGTATAAGATTGAGCTCCAATTGCACTGTCGTTGATAAGCAATGGTCAGAATATCAAATATATCACTTACAAAGCAAAAAATCTAACATTTCAAGTCATATTTGAATACCATAGTATCTTAACATTTAAATATATAATAATATATTCTCAGTTTTTCAGATTTGTATTTCAATTTCTATTTCTTAAGCCTTCATAAATAGGAAACTGTTTATTCTAATTCATTTCAGTTTCATTTGTAACTAAAATTAAGTTGCGAAAAAGTATTTTGATTTGTCAAAAGTGAGTATTAAAGAAGTTTGTAACCAGCTTATTTTAGTTACCAAAGTTTGATATAATCTCATTTTTTTTTTAATCCTTTAAAACTGATGTACTTTTTTACAGCGTTTCGTGCTCGGTCCTAATGGAAAACATATTGCATTGTGTGCTGATAAAAGCAGGCGTGCTATGAGAGAAGCCTTTAGAAGAGATGTGGTACTTCACTTGGGTGTAGCGTAAAATACTGTGTAAATAAATTTTTCTTTTATTCATAATTTATTTATCATGGCATTATTTCATTTCTGATGATAAAATATATATTAAAATGTGAAATGGTAATAATGTTGCCATATCCATTTTATTATCCTGTGCATGTCAAAAGTTGTTTATTATATATTTGATATATTAAAACAATCATTATTGTGATCACAGACTTGAACATATTGTTCATATTGGTGTAGTTACTTATTATAGTTTTAGATAGGCATATTTGCTTTTTTTTTTTTTTTTTTTTTTTTTTTGGCAGGATATTTTAAACTTTTATTTCAACCTTTATTTTATATTAACTAATAGAGGGTCATATGAATGTTTTCTAATAAGTGTTAACTAATAATGGGTCACATGAATGTTATTAATTTCATGAAATCAGCTAGTAAAAGTGTATTTGTGAAGCTTCATTTGATTCTTGTTTTTCTTATGTGATGCCAATACCTAAGGGGTCTAAGTGTTGTGGCTGAATGCTAAAACAAACTACTTTTCTAACAGCTGGAAAATAAGTTAATATTCTTGTTTTGACTTTGCAGCACAATTAAAATATCTTTAATGGTAATCATCTCATTTAATGTTTCTGAATTGACTTGTGCAATACTTACTTAACTGTCCTGCAGACCTTTTCACACTGCTAAGCGAGCTACTGCTCCATTTGTGGAAGTCCTGTGATGGTTTTAAATAAACTTTATAATTAAAACTTGAACTTAACAGAAGCACAATTTGTGCATACAGTCAACTCTGCCATTTGGGGATTTTTAAGTAACTGAAAATATGGTGTGATTTAATTTCTATTAATGAAATAGCTAATGCTAAAATACTAACTGGCACAAGATTCATATGGTCCTTAAGTCTTGAGGGTTTTGGAAAGTGATTTTTGGTCTTTTAAAAGTCCTTAATTTTGATTAAAATTTGCAAACAGGCCTTAATTTTCTTCATCTGACATTTCTGTCTTCTTTCTTTGACTGCCATACTGAATGTGAATTAGCATTTTGGAGATGAATACAGAACTTAAACCATTGTACCTTGGAATGAGTACTTTGCAAATTAGCCTTGGTTACAAAAAGCAGCAATCGGTGAAATTTTTTAGGTGTGTGTTTAATTTTAATTATTCAATGAGATTTCTAAAACAGATGTTAGCAAAAAGATTGCTGTACTGCAAAGTCCAAGATCCAGACTCTTCAGATTTTGGCTACGCCAGATTTGGGATTTTTCTGGATATGAAATTATCTATTTAAATCTAGTAAGATGGCATGTGGAAATAATAAAATTAAAAATATGAAATAGTGGTTTATGAAATAATGAAGCATTGACCAATTTACAAATGGGAATCAAAACTTACAAAAACAGCTCAATAATTTTTAACTTTATTAAACATTTCTTTCAAAATAAGTTGTTTAAGTTCCTGCATTCGTGGTACTAATACGTTTTTTTTTCATTCTTAAAGAGAATGTACCATTCTTCAAGCCCTGTAATTGCTACATCTAAATTGTCAATACTTTTTTTAATTCTCTACAACCTGTCAATTGCTTCATTAATGGTAACAATATTTTTTGGATTTAGAATCATACTGCAAATTTTGCCATCTGGTAAGATGGAAAAATTGATGGTTGGGACATTGTCATTGTAATGTAAAACTTCTGTCATTGCATTGCCACTTCTCCGCATTTCTTCACAAATAATTGGAACATTTTATTTATTTATTTATTTATTTCCCCCCCCCAACATCCAAAGACTTTCAAATTTGCAGCTGTCATCATAAAGTTTAGCTAGCATCCCGTTTACAATGACAGTGTAGCAGGAGATTTACGACTAAAGACATGATCAAAATCTCAATAACAACCTTGTATTTGGTGTACATATATTAAAACATTCAATCAATTTCGAGGGCAGCTATAGGTCCCTCCTCATCAGGAGAACAAAATTACTAGAAAGGGGGAAAAAAGAAAAATAATAAAGCATTGTCAAAGGAGTCTTGGAAACATGTGGTCGTTATCAGCACTTTATAGTATATTGTGTCAGTGTGGCTTGAGATATATTGGTCAAACAAAAAGAGCGTTAAAGCTTCGTATCAAGGAACATGAATCTATGTCCAAAAAGGCAAAATTAACAAGTCTTCAATAGCGTATCATAGTTGGAAATTTAATCATAATTTTGACTTCTGCAAAAATAGCAAATATCTAAAATGCCAATATCTTTGTAAGTTTAAATATATCACTTATCTGCAAAAATTATCCAAAATGCTTCTTCTGTTGGTGAATTGGATTTTCTTGAGGCTTTTCATATTCACAAGGATTTAGCATGTTTAGTGAATGATTTTAGGTCCTAACGCCTTTAAAATTCTATTAGCATAATTCTTGGTTACTATTTTTGCCTATAGATGGCGTTGCCTCCTCGCGCATGATACTACCGAAGGGTATAAAAAGCCATTACAGAGGTCCTAAGAACCAAGAGACATATTTATACTACTTGTACCCGACCTATTCTTTGTTATGCATCTCCAGCTTGGAATTCTGCCTCTCCTAATCAATTACATCAACTTCAAATAGTGCAGAATAAATTTCTTATTATTATCACTGATGCTGACTTTCTCATCCAAAATAAACTTCTTAATAGAGATCTTGAAACCATCACAGAATTTATTAAAAGAACAAATGAGAAATTCTTCTCTAAAGCTGTCTAGTGCGACTGTGTGAACTATTCCCAAGTCTTCAACTATGAAATACTCAATGAAGACTGCAACATAAGACCACTTGCTGCTCACACCTTCATGGGATGAGGCTTCTCGGAGGCTGTAATTTCTTTCATTTTATCTGATAAAGACAGTGCTGTACTCTTAAGTTGTTTGGATTGCTGTGTGATGTTGTAATAATCGTTGTATGTTGATTTTCTGTTGTATGGGTTGAATTTGTGTAGTTTTATAGTAGTATTGAACTTTTGTTGTTGTTGTATAGCATTTTGAACCATGTTTTGCATTTGTCATTTCTCTGAATTCTCGAGGATCCGTTCGAATTTTCTTCATCTTGCCAAGTTCCGTTCACCTGCTAGATGCCTTTGGCCTTTTTCCTTTTAGTACCCCCTCTCACTTTTCCTTTCTCCGTTTTCATATCCGAGATGTTTTCCATTTCTTGAACTCATTATGTCATGTGCCCTTGGGCTTAATTTAAGGAACCGGCAACGTTGCACCTGCAATGGCTCAGTAATATAGAACTGTCTAAGTGCTTTCCCTTTATTCGAGGTTCAGACTTGGTGCATGAAGGTGCAGTTGCCCCTCGCTTCCTATTTTTTGACTTCGCTAATTTTTTGGGGTTTTAGTCTGTGTGTTATATGTTTGATCAGATAGCTTGGCTCAGTAAAAGTAGGCGGCCAGTTAACTCTGATTCAATATCCGGTTACGACCGCATGCAGTGCTGATAACGACCACGTGTTTCTGAGACTCCTTTGCCAATGCTTTTTCTTCCCCCTTCTAGTTCTGATGAGGGAGGGACCTATAGTTGCCCTAAAAATCGATTGTTTTAATATATGTACGCCAAGTACAAGGTTGTTATTGCGATTTATTCTATTCTAAAGACATTATGTTAAATTTGGTTGTAATTCTATTGTAAGCTGATAAAGTCAAGACTGAATTATATTAGCTTAGTTATTTATTACAATATGCATATGCCTATTTCCTGCAAAAGACATATCAGAGTCCCAAAGAAATAAATAATTATATGCTTTTTATAATTTTACATTGGGCATTTTGTTTATATGAAAATATGTAGAATTACAATTTGATTTAATTTTCATAAAGAAATAAATAAAGCTGGAAAAAATTATTGTACTGAGAAAACAACTTTAGGCTAGCTAGGGATGGCAAAACCTTTAAAGGGATGCTAGGGATTTAGCTAGACCTTAGTAAAGTTAGTAACAGAAAGTTTTCATTCCATCGTTGAAATGATATACAATTAAAAGCAATTCTTTCTTGATGCAAGCAGTTTAAAAGGAATGAATATGCTTCTTCACTATTTACTTTTTTTTAATGATGTATCTAAAAAAATAGCATTTAAAATTTAATTTGCTATGTATCCAACTTATGTTTGTAGCATTGTAATTGGTAATAGTTACTCCCTGTGTCATATATTACAAATCTCAGAATAGAATTATTATTATTTAAATACAGAATTGTTTGACTATTAAGATATTAAAAAGTACATTATCAGTGGAATGAAGATTGAAAAAGAAAAAGGGAAAGCTGCAAAATTTGCTTCTCTAAAATTTCATCACTATCATTCGATTTTAATTTCAGCATAGAAAGGGGTATACAAAAGTTATAAATTTCACAATGCACATATTCTGTGTTGTTAGAAACCTATTTATACTAACATAGTATTTTTGAAAATTTAGTTTTTGATTGCATATACACATTTTTATATTTTAACTGCATTGATGGTGAATGTGCTAAATATAATTGTTTCAAACTCCAAATAATTCGACACAAAAGAAAAAAAAATGACATACTTTTTATTCAGTAGGATCATTTCATAAATTTCAGTATAAAAACTGGAAGTATATACAAATTAACAATGAGTTGTAATTCCTATGAGAAGACACACACAGTGTGCAGGACATTTTAAAACAAAAGAATACCACAAAATTCTGAATATTTGATAAATACTATCAAATATTGAATGTTACCACTCAGCTGAGTTTTTCTCCTAGAGGCAAATAAAATTACCCTATGAAAATATACATAGGATGTAATAGATTAGATCTGATTTGAACACTTTAATACATAAAATTAAGTAGTAGTAATACTGCTGCCATTTAATATTTCAAACAATTTTTTATGAATTTTCTTTACAAAATAAATTCCATATTTTCAAATTGATTTAAATTACATCTAAATTTTATGCTTTTTGAAATGAGATGTATTTTATTGATCAAGATTTGACAAATGATTTCTAACATACAACTAATTACTACTTAAGACACAATAATACGTCGAACAAATACTAATTCAGAAAATAACAAATAACAAATTTTGAAAATATGACACTGATTTTTGTTGTTTGACTTCTGAATTAGTAATTACTAGTTATTAATTGTAACCTGCTGCAATGGTTAAAAAAAAAAAAAAAAAAAAAAAAAAAAAAAGAGAGAGAGAGAGAAGAAAAATTATTTTCAAAGACACCTGCTACTTTATATTTTTAGTTACATATTCTCAACTGAGGTATACATTATGTGAAAAGAATTATTTAATGATTAAAATTAAATATTTTCAAATTTACAGTAGAATTAGCTAGATTGAACTGGACAATCAGTCTGGATTAACAAGTCCTCCCCCCTTTCCCATATGCCAGATACATATTTACTGTAATAAAAAGAATATTTTAGTCTTAAATCATGTTTTTACATTTTTATTTTACAAAATTTATTGAAATATTTTTACTTTTAATAAATTTAAATGGAAATTTGGATTACACAATCAACTTATCTCTCATTGAAATTAATTTTTGCTTACATATAATTAAAATTAAATGCATAATGCATAAGTAAGTAATTTTACCTCCATTAAAAAAGCATAGCCTGTTTCCATTAATACATTTTATTTATATAAAATTAGCAGAATAATATGAGGCTGAGTCTGATGATCTGAGCTTTCTTTCTAAGGCTATGTTACGGATAACTAGAACAAATATATGTAGTAGTGTTAGGAATAAAAAGGGAGTTTATTGAGACATATTATTAAATATTAAAAATCGCATTAAAATAGTTTCCACTGAAATTAATGCAATCGTGCATGAAAATTCTCTGCCAACCTTTGGTTTTAACAGATAGGTGTTAAACCGTACACTGCGTTGGTCAACAGGAATGTTCTTCAAATGACGTTCATGTTCTCTGGCCATTTGAATTTGCAGTGTGGGTCTTTCAAATGAGAAACCAAATGCTATGCTGCATATCTCGAGCAGATAAGAATGTATGAAATTAACCTTCTATGACTAACAGTGGCTTAGAGTATAAATCTCTAAAATTTGTTAATATGAATGCTAAAACTATATTATACTATGAATGCTTAGAATGTGTAACAGTGATATTTAATCCATAGTACGAATAATGTCTAAAGAGAAATCAAATATAAACTTATGTTACCTAGTTTCACTGTACCCATGAGCTTGAACACATATGTGAAAATTCTCCCAATTGATTTCATGATTATGTCGCAATACTTTTGGATTTGGGGGGGGGTGATTGTTGGTTGCATGTAGGCATTATTTAGGATAAGCTTCTTGATTCAATTTAAAGCAAGGTAGTACATTCTGTTTGTGTTTACCTATTTAAAATGGTAGAATAATTCTTAAAAATATAAATTAATAAACAAAAAGGTTAATTTTACCTGATGTTGAAAGGAGATCAAGCAATATGGGTATCTGAAGTCCTACTGAGTCATTAACTCCGTTTAAAATTTAGAAACAGTAATTTATAAGAAAATTTATAAATATTTGAAAATTATTCCATTAAAAAGGAAACTTGATTTCTTACCATTTTTTGAATCTCATTTAAACTTCTAACATCTGTGAATAGAAGACAGTATGAGATATCAAAACAATATTCCACATTGAAAGTATGCATTTTTAGCAATTCAGAAATGTTCTAAGTTGCAAAAATAAAATTTCATACCAATTCTCAAATAAAAATGAATTTCAATTATTCATTGAGATGTCGGTTATAAATAAACAAAACTAAAGAGCTGAGTAATGTATATATTAAATAATGAATTTAATAATTAAAAAGCAGAACTTGTGCACAAATTAGAATAATTCCAGTTGTTAGTAGGACACGCCAATATTTCCATGTTATTGCATATATAAAGTGAATGTCAGAGCATTAAACTGCTGTACCTTGAACATTCTCAAACAAAGAAAAATTTGTACATTGTTTTACAAATAAAAATTATTGGAATATATTTCACTAAAAAGCAATGCGATTTTGAAGTACATTTATTAATAAAAAATAAATATTATTACTCTAAAGTTAAGAATGTTTGGTTAAACAAATAGAATTTGGAATAATTTGTTTATTTTATTGGGAAGTTAATGGTTTTGTTTAGCCCAGAGGTCGGCAAACTACGGCTCACCACTTGTTTTTAATCTGGCCCTTGGAATATTGTTTTCTACATAAAAAATACATAAAATTACACAATGGCTGATAGTTGAGTTGAAAAGAATGATTGTGAGTGGCCCTATTCCCATTTGTCGTTGTTTTTAAAAATTATTCCCAATAGACGAATGTTTGTGCATTGCACGACATATGAGTATATTGACAGTTTTGCTGTAGCAGTGCATGTAGTATTGTCTGTCAAGGTACTCGGTGATATTTTGTTCTTTTTATTTTATTCATTACCTACCTTCACGAGTGTGTTGACATTTTTGCTACAGAGGTGCGCTTGGTACGGTCTGTCAAAGTATTATGTGATATTTTGTTCTTTGTATTTCATTCATTACCTACCATCATCATGTTACTCTCAAAATCAAATAAGATAAAAGCAGACCTTGAGTGTGTGCTTCTAAAGCAGAATGGACCATAGAATTAATTGAAAATTAATGGATTTATTAATGGACCATTATTAATGGATTTATAAATGGACCATAGAATTTACCATAGAATTAATTGAAAAAGTTTTATGGCTATGAGATGAAAGCAAAGAGTGCAATATACATCATCATTACTAAACTAAGCATGCAACATGGCATTCAAATCTCACAGAAAATGAACAACCATTAAAATTTAAAAGTTTAAAACAGAATGCATCATTACTGTGAAATTTATTCGTAAAATTAAAAAGTAATTATGAAGCAGTAACTAAAGTCAACTTACGAATAGCTCATTTATTATTCCTTAATATGGTTGCTGAAGCAAATGCTGAGTAAATAATTAACAAGTAAATAAAAACTGAGACTATACTGAACTCAAAAACATCAGCTGAGATAGTTTTGTTAATATAAAAATATTTATTACATAAGTATCCATGTCTTATTTTGGAATTTTAAACCCAGCACTAGAGGTGTAAAAACCAGCCTCGGTTGAATTCCCATGATATGGAAACAATAAAATATCTCAGCTATTTTCTATCAGTAAGTTACATTATTTAAAATTGTTTCATAGGTATAACTTAGTTTTTACCTCTGCTGCAAATCTGCTTGATTTTTGTGTCTCTCATGTACAATGAACTAGCAATGGTATATTTTGTATACTCTTGAATGACATAACTACATTTATTTGATCATAAGATATGTTAACAATTTGCATAACATTATTTTTTTCAAATATTTCTGCCTCTTTGGCCAAGGGAGACAATTTTGATGGTATTAGATTATACTTCCAAAGTATCTAACAGCCTAAAAAATACCATCAACAATGATAAATAAGATTTTTTAAATTTAACATTTCTATGGCTGGCAAGCTTTTCTCAGCATCCTGCCATTCAAATTATTTTCAAAAGAAGGGGTTTAAAAAAATTTAATATTTCATGTTTTCCAATAATCAAATTAATATAGTTTATATTAATAAAATATACTTGACAATTTTTATAAGCATTTGTACTTTGTTGTAATTATTAAAAGATGTTTCTAATCCCATATGTCATGTACCTCAGTCCAGAATACTTTTCCCTCCTTAACTGAGAATTATTTTAATCCACATATAACACTAATTTTATATTGCAAGGGGCAGCAATACTTCAATAGAACTGAACTAAGTTTCAAAGAAACTGCAATCAGCAGTACTTTCTTGCTCATTCATGCTAATTTTTATGTTAAATTCTTTACTTGTTATATTACTTAAATTCTTACTATTAACTACACAAAGGTATTTTCTTCATAGTATCATTTCATGAAAACACAAAGTAAAATATACAATTGAAGAAAAATTTAGATAATAAATATCACACAAAAATAGCACTTCAAAGTAGATCAAAAAATTTTTGCACAGAGAGGATTAAAGGCCTAAAGATATGAACTAAGGGCTTTTTAAGTTTTTTAAACAAGTTTGATTTGATATAAACACACCAAAAGAACTGTAAATTAACCTACATGATTGCAGTACTTTTTAATAAAATTCAAGTTTCTAAAATCACCTTTTGAATTCCAGCATACAGAGTACATCTACAGTGTTTCAGGACATGCAACAAAAATATATATACTAGCTGAATCTTTTTCTGGCATATTAATTTAAATTCTTCATAAAAATCTACTTCATGTTCTATTACAAACATAGAACTTACAATATCTCCATCAGATGTAAATTCCTCTGCTTTCTTTAAAGATAATTATGAACCTAGCATGTATTTGGATCATCTAAAACTGAAGATTCTGTGGTCAAAATACACTTGTCACTTATCATGATTATGTAATTTTGTCCAAGTCAAGAGTAAAATAACCTTTCCCCACCACCACCACTCCTGACCTATTTAAATTCACAGTTACTGTTCTACTGCTTCTTATTGCTCAGTTCTGATTTAATAATAATAAATATCAGCTGCATAAAGTCAAACAAAGAATTGCATTTAATATTTTTTTTTCCAAAAGCATACAATAATTTTCAAGCAGTGTTCTTAATAAAATGACAGTTTGTAGTCAGCGGTCAGTGTTCAACAGTAATAGTAAGGAATCTGACATATTTTTTCAAATTTAAATTCTATTTGTTACTTAATTTCATTAAATATTACGCATGTAAATGGGTAGGGAACCATGAAAAATATTTCAAACTTAAAAACTTCGTTTGTTATTTAATTTCAGTAGGGGAAACATTTTAAGAGGACTATCATGCATGTTAATGATTAAGGCTTGAACAAAATGCTCATCATAAGATAAAGAACAGTTTTTTTTTTTTTTTTTTTTTTTTTTTTTTTTTTTTTTTTTACAGGAAGCATTTTGAGATGTAATTAATAATATGCATGAGATTAATAATAGCTATTTCTAAATCATTTGGCAACATCACTGGGATTACTAAAAAATTCTTTTCTTTAAAACTTTCTGTAAATGTACTGTGTATGATTTATTACAATATGAAACATGATTTTCTTGTGCATCACATCAAACTGATATGAAACACTCAAAAGAAACTATTTAATGTAACTTTTTATGCTCCCATTTTTTCATCTGGTAAAATAAATCACCACATTTCTGTCAACTAAATTACTGAACTAAGCTCTTGTCCCTTTTAAATGCATAGAATACTTTTGCTTTAAAACATGTTATAGAAACCTCATAGGATATCAATTTCAAAAAGCATAAAAAACCATGCCTGTTTATACACAAAGAATATCCTACCATTGTATTAATAAATAAATCTCAATTTATTTACATATTTACAACTTTTGAGTTTTTTTTTTTTTTTTTTTTTCAGATGAGAAACAAATTGATTAGGGATTAATTGATTATTAGGGCTTTCTCTTTTCATTTAATTTTTGACTAAATCAAATTTCAAACATAGAGGAAATTTTTTAAAAATAACATATTCGTATAGATTAAATGCTTGTCTTTACAATATAATTAATAACCCCCAAAACAAGTATTCACACTGAATATTTTTAAACAAGTATTCAGAACCACTGAATTGTCATGAAAGAGAATGTCAAATTTTTTGTGAGCTAAATCAAACAGCAGTAATTTTGCATTCTCCATGATTAATGTTACAACTATGAGCAGCAATCACCTGTGCTGAAACAGTCAGAAATCTGTCATGAATAATAATATTCACTTGAGTCTCACATTTTCTATATAAAATTAGCAGCAGCAACTTTGGACAATAAAAAGCAACTGCTACTGAGGAGCTGTCAAACTTCTTGGTGTTTTGAAGGTATTGTTACAATGAAAGGTTCACTCCACATTCGGCGCAGATCTCCCTGTAATGAAAAAAGTAGCAGTAATAACAGAAAAATACATACTAGAATTAGAATACTAAAATATGATTTAGACTGTTTTTTTAAGTTTTCTTTTCTTTTTCTTGCAGCATAATAAATGATCTTGCATATACTTTGACTATCATCATAGAATGCAGCAGGGAACTGTTAAATTAGAATTCAGTTCTACCTATCGTAAAGATAAAAAATCTGTCACTTGGTCAAATTCAATAAGCCAAGCAACATGCCAGAGCATGCACTAGTACTTAATAAGTAATTACTATTGATAAAGCTGTTAGTGTTCTTTTTCATGCAGACCGTTCATCAAGTCTAGAATTATAGAATCATAGTGCATCGGTCCATCGAGTCGGAGTAGAGAACAAAATGCTGGCATTGAAAGTGTGTTAAAAGTGAAATTAAGTAGATCAGAAAACATAATTAAAGAACATGATGATAATGTTAAGAAAAACAAAACTCAAATAGAGTACGGATCACTTCAAAGTATTTAAATGGGCATCAAAAACTAAGAAACAGATACTTCGAAAGTGTTGACAAGAAGGATGTTACAGCCATCAATGAAGAAATTACCGAAATGGAAGAGTCAGAGGTAAGAATTATGGAAATTTTGTAATCTATTGTACACTGCACAAAAAGGGGGGGACCATTCTTTGTCTCCCGTTCTACTAATAAGAAGTGCACTTATTATTTTTAAATCATTCCGATTAATGAGTTACTACAGACTGATTAAATCTGAAAGATGTCTTACATGATTATCAACTGAAAAATGGTAGTTCTATTTTGCAGCATCTAAAATGAAACCACATAATGATCACAAAATTTTATAGTAACATATTGACTTTTATATAAATCTTTTTCAAGCTATAAAACAATCATCGTGGTTTATTCAGCGAACGGCTATAATAATAAAAAAAATTATTCATAATTATTTCGCATCAAATTATTCATTTATCTGTTAATAATTATCACATATATATATTGAAAATTACCTGTATTTTAGACTACATAAAAGATAAATTTTAGATCTTACATTTTGAGCAGGGGCAACACAAGTAGCATTGACAAAAGTGCATGGTAACATAATGTAATAAAATTATTTGGAAAGGCTCTAAGAATATTTCTTACAACAATGAGCTTAATTTTACAAACAGAATAATAAGCTTGATTTAGCATTTATATGAGAGGATATGACATGCCTAAGAAGAATAAGGATTTGATTGTACTTACATTTTCAGAATTCATAATCTAAAACATATCTAATACAATTTAAGCAGGCAGTGAGTAGAAAGCTTCAATATTTACCTTGAGGTATGCCATGGTGAGTAACGGTAAAAGAGTGAAAGGGACAAGGTACAATAATGCGGGTTGAGCTGCTTTGAATACTTCTGATGAAACTGTGGCAGTCAATAAACCTATAAAAGATATTTTAGGCTAAACTAAATAATGAAATTTTCATAATGCTTATGTATCTGCAAGAAAACAAAGTTGAATGAAATGAAGAAAAAATCGAAGAAAATGATACATGTATTAGCATTATTGATTATTATTATTACTGATTATTGATGATATTGTTGATTATTGAAAATGATACATGTATTAGCATTAGACATGTATTGAACACAAACATATAATTTAGATCAAAGTGTGAATAAGTTAAACTGCTTGATACTCTTAATATGACTGGAAACATACAAATGCAAATTGGCTACAAAATAATCGTCGAAATATGAAGCAAATCAGGAGAAATGATGAACTGAAAGACACAAAAGTGAAACACCAAATACGAAACAAATATTGCTTTGATAATAAAAATTTTCTGTCATGGCCTGTCTGACATTTAATGAATTATTACCAATAATGTTTCCAAGTGTACAGTTTGATGCTATGCTAGTTGGAAAATTTACTCACTAATAATGCCAATATAAACTTAAACAATACACACCTCTGACCTACGTCATTTACAAAATAGTAGAAAATGAAACAGTACGAGAAATCTTGATGAAAATGGCTTTTAAATATACAGCTCTCAAAATTCATGAATAGTAAGTAGTAAGTTTGCTGATCAACTAAAAAAAGTACATATAAAACTTTAAAAAAAAAACAAGCACAGAAATTATTAATTTCAGCTTAGAATTATATATATTCCAAAACCCATCCAAAATGACCACCTCTTAATATATATTTTATTATTAATAATTTTTAGAAATTTAATGCTGAAAAAATAAACAATATGTTGCAGATATAACTGGTTACAGAGCTTTTAACGCTTGGTAACAATGTTACAGATCTAAAAATTCATCTCAATTACAGTAATTACCTAAAAAGTATCCTATGAGAGAGCAATGAAAATATGAAATTTTGTTTAGTTGATTAGGCGGAGGAACTCCCGTCTCTGCTAAACTAATTTGGGCCTTTTTGTATGCATCGTATCGCAATACAAAACACAGCAGCAGACCAGGCATCACCTGAATAGGAAGAAAACATAAATTACCTCTAAATGCATAACTGCTACTTTATACAGCAAACATGAAATTGTTAATACATAACACATTAATAATTTTATTAGAAAAAATTATGCAGAATTGAATAATAAAAAGAGAAGACAAATTCCTTGATTTTTTTATATGTTAACATTATTATAAAACAAAATGAAAAAGAAATGAGTGCCATACCAAAAAAAAATTTTTTTTTAAAAGCATATGTGAATTTTATAAGCTACTTTTTTAAATTTTATATTCTGTCAAAAAAAAGTATATTTTCTATATGTACATAGTGCAAAAAAGGGAGGGCAGTTCTATATCTCCCATTCTACTGGGCCGATTGACGAAACTCAATCTGCGTTTTTCGTGTCTCGACAGCACGACCTAGGATTTGTGTTACATTTAAATATAGTGTTGCTCTAATGTAGGTATTTTGACAGAAAATCGGACTTTTCTGAAATAACATGCCAATGTTTTTACATATTTCGATTCTACGATTCAAATTATACCAAACTGCCACATTTTGTAAAAATCGCGCAAGTAGTTTTTAAAAAATTAGCTCACAATGTTAATTGAATTTCATATATATTTATTAATCTCTCTTTTTTTTTTTTATTAAACTTACTTGATTCCTTCTTCCAGAATTTGAAATTTAGGCTTAATCCAAATATAATTCGCACATTTTTTACGATTTACTTTTAAAATTTTTATTTTTAAATACTTTTTCATAAATTTTTTGAAAAAATTTCTGTATTATAATCTATAAAATTTTTGGCATCATATAGTAGACATATTTCTAGGCCCAACTGCAAAAAATTTGAAGCGTTTTGAAATTTGGCCTTTTTTGTTTTGTTTTGTTTTGTTTTTGTTTGAGGGGGAAAGCGATAATAACGCCAAATGTGGTCTACACACTTTGTTAAAATTATTTGAAACTATGGACAATGACTTTTTTCCTGCTCGTCTACAATGCAAAAAAGAAAAGGAAAATTGGTTGCACATAAGTTCGTCGCGCTTTCAAGACATCAAAAATGCAATTTGAATTTCATCAATTGGCCCAGTAAAACAGGAGATATAGAACTGTTTTAAAAGTTTAGAGAAAGTTTTAAAAGTAAGTGTTATGACACCCAGGCAGTATAGTGATTAGAGGAGCCGACTGCGAAGGGTTGGGAGAAGTCATGGATGTAAATTGTCTGTCTTTTCACAGAAGGAAACATTGGCCACCTATTAGGTGCCTCCACAATAAAATGGTCACCACTTCTGGCCTAGGAATAGCCAATGCTAGAAAAGCAAGTGCCTGCCGTTTGGGGAGAAAAAGTATTTAAAATAATGAATTAATGCATGCCAAATAATGTCTCTTCTTATTATTAGAAAGCTTAATGTCATCAGCAACAAATGCTTCCCCAGTTAACATTTTTAGCAACTATTTTAATGCAATAAAATACACTGTTTCCATAGCGAAATCTTACATGGTTCTGTACTTTAATACAACAAAGTTAAAAATTTTCAAGCTTTGGCACTTCACACTAACCTGGCTACCAGAAAATAAACCTTTGTGCAAGTCAAATATACCACTGGTGGTTATTTTGCTACAATTTCTCGATTTTTCTGGTCTTTGTGCACCTTATATAAAGTTCAAATATTGGAACTTTTGAGCTAAATACCTCATACCATATTTCATGATGTAATAAGATTTAGTTACTTTGCATTAAAGTTCTATCTACGCTAGATGTGATTTGTAATCATAACTAACTCCCTCATGTTCTAACTTATTATTAAAATCAATGAATGAATAAAAATATAAACATTTTACATATAAAAGAAACAATGAAAATACAGAATAATTAGCTGCATTTCATATTTTGGGAAGAAAAAATAGCCTAATTAGAAGTTTTAACTCATATAGTATATAATTTTACAAAATAACGCCAAATATGGTCTACGCACTTTATTAAAATTATTTGAAAGTATGGACTAGTATGGAAAGTATGGAAATTTAATTCTAAGACCTTAAAAAAGGTCTTAGAATTAAATTATTTTATAACAACAATTTAATACATTTCCTTCAAAACAGTCACTTTTGCTAATTAAACAATTATTTTCAGAGAATTAAAATCAATAACAAGAATAATTCTAGTTCTAAAACTGACGCTTGTCAAATATAAATCACATTGAAAAAAAACAACAGCAATTTTATTTATATGGGAGAAAAAAATCAGTTTCAAGTATTGACAGCAGAGAATTTCTTAAATACCTTCATTTTCTCAGTTGGATTTCATACATGGTTAGGTGTTATACAATCATGCCACTAATGTGTGATTTCATGGATGTATTCAACATCTAATAATGCAATGTACCATCCATTTTCAAATTATCTAAGCATATTTTGAAGCTACCTTGTATATATTTAAGGTTCAAATATAAGGGCACTTGATAAAACATTTAGAGATACCACTTTTACAACTACTGAGCGAACAGGGTGATTCATCACCCTGTTTTAATCTCTCAGTAAAGTGAGTCCAACACAGAAGAAAGTTTAAAATAAATTGCGTGCCTCACGGTTACACAACCTACACAGAATACAGGAGATATAGAACTGTTTTAAAAGGAAGTGTTATGACACCCAGGTAGTATAGTGATTAGGGGAGCCGACAGCGAAGGACCGGGAGTAAATCATGGATGTAAATTGCCTGTCTTTTCACAGGAGGAAACATTGGCCACCTATTAGGTGCCTCCACAATAAAATGGTCACCCTTCTAGCCTAGGAGAAGCCAATGCTAGAAAAGCAAGTGCCTGCCATTTGGGGGGGGGAATATGAGAAAAAGTATTTAAAATAATGAATTAAATTCATGCCAAATAATGTCTTTTTTTATTATTAAAAAGCTTAATATTTTGAAGCTACCTTGTATATATTTAAGGTTCAAATATAAGGGCACTAGAATATAATATATATAAGGGCAAATATAAAACATTTAGAGATACCACTTTTACAGCTACTCAGCAAAAATGTTGCTCACGATAATAAACCTAATTACTTTAAATATTCCTCTGGATCCCTGAAGGCAGGCGGGTGATTTATCACCCTGTTTTAATCTCTCAGTAAAGTGACTCCAACACAGAAGAAAGTTTAAAATAAATTGCCTGCCTCATGGTTACACAACCTACACAGACATTAAACTTCACAGCTTGTGAGAATTACAGAACCAAAACTTAAAAGTAAAATTTAAAGTATTAAACTATCACATTTACAAGACAAAGTACGTCTACAAGTTTGGGCTTAGACCTCAATTTACAGAAGCAATTACAAATAGCAGATTCAAACAATTAAAATGCTTGGAGAAGAGCAGCTGAGGGTCAGTGACAGCTGCCATAAGCCCTCTTTCAAACTCAAAAACTCTGTGTTTTTAAATATACAAGCTAATTTTCATTTTGGTAGTAGCCAATAGAGGTGACAGTAAAGGCAAAAAATGATAATGGTCAATAAATATAAAACTCCTACAACTTATGACTAAGAATACTAGAGCTAAAAATATTTTAACTTTTCAGTGCTTTCAAATAAAATCACGTAATATGGGAAGAGGAGAAAAAATTATACTTTATTTTAGAATGTCTAATCCACAGCAGATGGGAAATAATAGAGAAAATTACTGACTCTAAACACTAAAAAAATTATTTCCTTTAATAGAAAGCAATGAAATATGTGATATCACTTTTCTTAAAAGGTTTTGTGATCTAATTAATGAAATAAGATTGCATTCAATTCTCTAAATTCTTTTTTGACATTCTCATCATTATTTGTAGTCAATTTTGTAAAAATCGCCCAAAACTTAAAGATTACAAGCAATTTTCTTTAAGATTATTTTCTATTTTCTCCCATGAAATAAAGAACGGAGTTCTGTGATGATTGATCTGATTGTTAATTTCATTATCTGTGATGATTAATTTGATTGAACATGTGAATTTTTTTTTTTAATTACTTCAATATTGAATCAGGAAATGCCTCTACTAACACTATGAAATACTGGAATATCATTGCAAATATATATATATATTTGATAATAATTTGTTCTTTTCGCGGAAGATGAAATCTATTCATGTTTAGTCATGGCCGAGAAAACTTCTGTGTAGATGACTGGACATTATGGTGTAATCGATGATTGGATGAAATTTTTAGAAGCACAGCCAGCTTGATAGTTAAACGTTATTTATTCTTGAATGACAGATTTCTGAATACGTAACTGTAAAAGACTAGGGGTGCTAAATGTGCCCCATAATCTTAGATAAGCAATTACATTTTAAATAATGGCAAATAGCTAGCAGAGGCTAAGCGACAAGCTATTAGCATGCAGGTGAAAAAGGGAGAGACTACGCAGTTATTAGCTATTTATACAAGATAGGTGCACAAAGTACAGCTAATCTGCGATTAGTTAAATTTTGGGTTTCAGTTCCATTTACATCATCAGAATTATATTTTTCTAGAAATGATGCAGTGCAAATAGAGTGACTCCAACACAGAAGAAAGTTTAAAATACAGAAAATATTTTTAGTACACAGAAGGGAATTAATTTTCGCTGCTTTTCGCTTTTACATATTCTTTATTTTTCTTACATATATGTATGTGCCTATGAAACTGTGTTAAAATTAATTTATAAAGAATGATCAATAATTGATTTCAAGATTAAACAGAAAAACCATGTTTCAAATGGCCTGGAAACTTGCAACTTAATAATTCATCAGAAATAGCTATATCCATCAGTCATTTAGCTGATTCATCACCAAGAACACAGTCTGAATTGCACCACAGGGGCAACTGAATTTACATCCACCTCAGTTTTGACACCATGGGCAATGGGTCCATGGATCTCCTACCCACCTTCCTTCCCCTGTCACAAAGCCTCTTGAAACAACTTTTGGCTCACATTTTTTAATGCTACCATGTTGCACAGACAATATACATCGACAAACATCCAAGCTTTCTCTGGGATTTAAACCTGGGCCCAATGATATAGCAACCAGCAGCACTAACCACTATACCAATGACAGCCCATTCCAAGTAAAACTATACAATAAGAAAAAAAAAAATTCAGTAAGCTAAAAAAAAGTTTTCAAGTTTAATGTCTTGTTGTTTTGAGCTTATGATTACAACTTACAATATAACAGAAATTTTATTTAAAAAAAGGAACGCGAAACTTAAAGGTCCATTCCTCCGTAAAGTCCATTATTTAATGTTTCAGATTACTGGAATTAAAATTTGTCAAAACTTAAGTATAAATGAAGTGCTGATATACAGTATAGTGATATACAGTATTCAATAGAAGCTTTAATTACTTCTAAGAATATATGCAGTTAAACGAAGGATTATTTTTTATAGAATGCTTATGGCTAAGAGAAGCATCTACCTTCACATCACAAAAATAAAATGGCGAGTAGAAGTAGAAAAGAATATATAAACATAGTTCAAGGGAAAACTGAATGAAATCATCAAGATTTGAAAAAGCTTTAAGACAAAAAAGAAATTTTAGATAAAAATTTTAGGAATTTTTTGTAAATTTTATACAGTTTTCTCCTTATTTTATTATTTTTTTTTTCAATATTTTGTCTGCGATTTTTAAGGTTTTTTATATGTATTACAACACAAAAGATAAATAGAAAAGCAGTCGAAAGTAATAGCCTCCAAGATCACACGTCGTAAATCAGAATACAAGAATGTAATGCAATTAGATACGTAGTGAACCCTCCTAGGTAGTCAGTCCTTCAAGAAGCTTCAGGTAGTCACACTTTCATGCTAACTACCTCCGAAAGTGACCAGTATTTTGAGAATATAATATTGAGTATTTTGAGAATATAATAATATTAAATTTTATCTTTCCAAGATGACTAACTCTACTGAAGATCCAAATTGCATGTGGTCATGGTAAAGAAGGTTCACTGTACATGTAAAATAAAGAACACAAAACATTGCATTTTTGGGGGAAAAAAAAACTGAATGAAAACTTACTATGTCCCCTAGTCCCAACATTGAAAAATGGCCATTGTTGTGCATGCTGAAAATAAACAAATAATCATATACTAAAATTTTAACATGATCACTACATGTATGATAACCCAAAAGAGGAATTTTAAATATAATTCATTTTATATTTTAAAGCAGTATACTTTTAAAAGTCAAACCCCACAATAACAAACTTCAAGGGAATGAAAGGTTGATTCGCATTAACTGATTCAATTTTAAAAAAATTCTGTGACCCAAAAAGAAGTGTAAAAGTGAATGATGAATCATATGGAAAAATTTATAATCACTGTCATATATATCACAAAAATCATATTAAGATTTAATTACAACTATTATTACATGCAGTTATTAAATTGCTTGGCTCTTCCTTTTTAATTTCACTATATTTTAATAATTGCAGATTATGAATTACTTAGCAGAAATGTCATGGTTCTGATCCTTCCCTCAAATTATACATGTCTCTAAAATACACATTTCCAATTATGAATAATTATTTCATTCTATTGAAATACTAAAAATGAATTAAAAACTTATGAATTTATTACTTTTTCTTAAATTCTGGGTACAAATATGATCTATTTTTGCTGATGTGATGCAGATTACATAAAAATTTTATCCATATTTTTGTCCAAAAATTGAAAAGACTCCATCACTTTTCGTTCTACAATTTGTGTAAATAAAAACTTATTAATGACACACATTGCAGCTTTGATATCTGCTGTGGCAGAGAGTTCACTTTCCATGTGTTGCATTTCTTCACTATTTTTATGAGCATCAGAATGAAAAGTCTTCATTAGCTTCTCTCATTTTAATTTCTGTCATAACATTTTCATCAGTTGGATATAACATCATCATTATTTCATGACTGAAAAACTTCCAATTCTGAAAATACTGAAATCCAATTTCCCCCCCCCCACTAGCCATTTAACGACTGACTAATTTTCATCACCTCCCTTTTCAACAACCTTCACCAGACCAGCCTATCCAAAACAAGATTCTGTAAGAAGTCACCATGACTTTTCTAGAATTAGCATTGCATCGAGAAGTTATAATCTATGTGACTGCAATACTTTCCCAAAATGTTTAAAATGAACCGCTTCCAAAAATGACACTTGAAGTTCCCGATTCGGCTTTTATTTATAGATTACAGCATCAAAGTGATATCTGGGGGCAAGAAAACAATCTTGCCTTTTTTGACATCTATATATGCAATACAGCTGTAAATCAATGTGGAATCTTTCACTTTTTGAACAAAAATTCTTAATACCAGTTCTCTAACAGTTTTCATGTCATCCATGCCTTACAATTAACTTTATGGGAAATAGAAAATCTTTTAAAAACTTTTTAAGAAGGGCTTTTGAGATTTTTCAGCCACCAAAAGCCCACGATACTCAGAGCCAATCATACACAAGGACTGAGTTGCACTTTTGATATTCCACCTTTTGATAATCTTTCACCAGTGCAAGTTTACCTTTTAAATTTTAATAGCTGGTTTAGCACCATCTTGTAAAAATATCCAGATTCACTGATTTAGATTGAAAATGTATTTTTCATAATATTAGCAAAAAATATCATCACCAACTCCAAACATTTAATTTTAAAGAATGCTGCTTAGTTCTTTGACAATTTTTCCTGTAAAAATAGTGTTTAGCCTCTGGAACCTATTGAACAGTCATTTGAGTACAAAATGGAAGACTCTTCAACGTATTTTAGTAAATCTGTCAGCCATCATCTCAAGCATCTGTTGAGACAGTAACAAATTGAGCTTCTATGAATGGTGATTGATATTCAAAATGCTTCTTCAACAGCTTTATGTTCACAATTACTCAATGTTTTTACACATCTAAATTTTTCCACAAGTAGAAGTTACTGATTCTGCTTTTATGCATAGCACCATCTACAGATTCAGATGAATTGCATTCCTGACAAATATTAATTTGGCTGTATTTATTTAATATTTTTCAAATAATGTTTACTTCAACGCAAAATGCTATACATTTATAGCTTGCCATTTAGATGAATTTTTGACACAGAAAATTTTCACTGATTCATATTGCAGAGAATTAGGTCAAAGAACATGTGATGCTTTGCTCTTTAGGAAAAGATTAAAAAGGAAGACGGTTTCATAGCTAGTCTATCTTAGCTAACACCGTTTTCCTAGAAAATATGTATGGCTGCAAAGCAAATATTCAATAAATGTTATAAAAATATCCTAAATCTTCCAAATACTTATGAGTAAAATTCCCATTATAAAGATAGAACATGAAAAGCATTTAAACTGAAACTAAATTAACCAATACAGATAAAAAAATTTTCCTTAGAAGAAGAATTACGCACATAGACCCAAGCCAATAAGAATCTATTCACTCCTTTCCCTGAACGGCAAAATATTTCAAGATTTCCATCAGAGCACCAGCTCTATCTGACAATCAAAGTTCAATCAAGAAACTTGATTGGAATCAGAAAACCCATCAGAAAATCATTTTCTCTGATTCAACGGTCTTGTACAAAATATGGTATCCTAAGTCAGTGTTCTCAAACTGCAAGCTGGCTGAATGCATGACCAGAAAACAGAAGACAGGCTATTTTCTTTTAACATAAGGAAATTTTTTTCAGTAAAATGAAAAATATTTTTAATTTAACTTACAAAATATTTATCAACACATCCATAAATAATAATAATTATAACAATAATAATGATGAAAAATTCAAATTTATATTTATTTCCTATCTGAAATCTTAAGTTTGGTGTCTCCAAGACATTTTTGTAGGTTCTTTTGTTGGCATTCAAACACATTGACAGCTAAATAACCAATTTTTAGACTGATATTTATTTCAAATAATTTTAATGGGTTTGATTAATCATTAAATAACTTACTTTAAATTAAATAAATAAGCTATTAAAACATTCTAAGTTTTCAGAAAAAACTTTCCAGGTGGGACAAAATCTGAGAATAAGTGACGATAACCTAGTCTCTTATTCATTAAATTTTTCTTTGGCACATACATAAAAACACATATTTTTGTATGTGAATAATTATAAAATTACTATTTTTTACAACAGTTTAACACTTTTCAACTCTGTTTACGTTTGTAGCCTCAGAGAAAAATCATCAGAAAGTATCTTCATCACAAACAACTCCTCAGTCAATTGGATCCTTTTCTCATTAATTTTCAATTGTGAAAAAGTGCATTCCCAAATAAAGTGATTACTCTTAATGCAAAAATTCATAACTGAGTATATTTCTTTTTTGATAAGCAGGAATAAAATATAATCAAATCAATATCTTCAAATCTCTAAATAAAATTTATACAACATAGTGAAATAATTAGTTCCATTTATACATTTTCTGGTGGTTCGTATTTAATGATAATGAAAATAATGCAAATTAGGAATAACAGAAATCCTGAAGTCTTTTCAACTAATGTATAATTTAAATGTCTCCACAGGACGAATAAAATTGCTTTGGATGCCATATGCAGCCCAAGAGTCGCCAATTTGAGAACTCTCATCTTAAGATATGCTTACTGTGTGCACTTGTTCTCTAAGAGCTGGATTGACATCTGTCTCACATAGCCTTTGTCAGGGAGAAAATAACAGAATGGCAATGTAAAGGTATTTTCTTCCATTCTTACATGCATGAAAAATGGATCCTAATCTCTTAATCATGGAGGTATTAATAATTCTCATTCAAATTTGCAGAAATTCAGTGAAAAGGTATAAAAATTATTTAAAAACAAAGTTTATTATAGCCATTTCCAAACTTCTGAAGGTCACTATAAACATATAAAATAACTGAAACTGAACAGTAAATTAAATGGAACCAAAATTTGTTCATTATTTCAGGGGTTTGCTGTACTAGGATTGACTGAATGATTAAAATATACCTAAGCATTATCATTTTAAGCAAACTAACAAGGATACATTTGTATTTTTCTCAGAGCGAGTTAAACTCAGAACCATGTTAGTCATCTGTTTAAAATTTAATGTGCTTTAAAATCATAGTTTTTAATTAAGTTAAAATTTAATGTGCTTTTAAAACTTTAAAAACATATATACAAACTAAAGCAAATTAATATAATACTAGGACATTCAAATGTGATCAGACTTTGACTTTTTTTATGGTGCAGAGGAAACTTGATCTTTTCAATCGCATGTGACACCTGCATGAGTGAAGAATGTGTTAGAGGTTCATCTTCAGGTCTCAAACTTGCAAACTGTTCTCTCACACCAAAAGCTAGACAATTTTCAACTATTAGGATGTAACAAACATTGTTTTTCCTATTTCTTTCTCCTACCAAAAACTCGATAATCCTTTGTTTCACAGATGCAGCTATTTCCCCAATAGTGGTTGCTGCACCAAGCAACACATATGGTTGATAAAATTGTGCATACAATTGCTGAAATAGTCAAAGCATTGTAATGACAACATATTTTGTGCAAGTAATATATAATTAATGGTAGAAACAAAGTCATTTAATGTGCTGCATGGAGCAATCATGCAAAAATTTTAACAGTCAGAGTTACATTTGAATGCCCTTGTAATATCCCAAACAATTACATTTACAGTATCATTTTTGCAATTTAATGGCAAAATGTTAAAATGCCAATCATCATAATAAAACACTTATATTTTCATTAAAGTACATATTATCACAATGCAATTATCTAATCCATATTTTTAATGTAAATTGTCTAATAAATTTTGTAAATAATATTTCCAATGCATATGCTTCCCTTTTTCAGTTAAAAAAAAATTTCAGTTTAAAAAAGTTGGCAGTTGGTAACAAGCTTTGAAAGATTCTATTTTTAATGTTATTGAACCTACCTTTTTTAGAATGAAAAACAATATACATTATTTTAAAATTTACAATAATAATAAAAAATATAAACTATAAGCATTGATCACAAAATGAACAGCTGATATAAATGAAGGAATGAAATACTTTCAAAAAAGCGGGAAAATTCAAATATTTTATTAAAAAATGAAAGATAACTGAAAACTGAAAATTTCACTATCCAGCTGATACCCAGGAAATTGAAAGCAAGATCCACAATTAGCAGAAGAATATGAATTTTCGGCAGAAATCCTGCACAAAATTCAGTACAAAGAAAGATTAGCAGGTTATATTTATAATTCTTTGTTTGTAATAATTCACCAAAAAATACTCCTGTAAGAAAAATCGCATAAAATATAGATACACATTCCAATATAGAAAGTAAAAAAAATGGAAACAACTACATATTTAAATTTTTTTTTAAATATTAAACACAAAAATAGCTGTAATCATTCTATCTGTAGATATCATGACTAAAGTACGATATATCTGTGGAAAATAACATTTGGTCTAAGGACTAAAATATATGCGATATGAAAAACAAATCTACAAAGCATGAATTAAGAAATGTTAATCTAAAAACATGCCACAGTAATAGTCTATTTATAATAATGAAAAACTATAAACAAAATAAATACACGTGCACAATAAAAGAAAATCATATTTTACATGCATAAAATTAATTGCTAAAAAAAGATGAGGGATGCATTCTCAACAGTTTGATATGATATTTGACTGATGATAAAATTTTATAAACAAACAAAAATAAATTGTAGAAAAATGAAAATGCATAATACTATTCATGATTTAGAATCAATTTTTGCACTTTTACATCTGCCACATTTGTATAGAAGCAGGGATACAAAAACATAAACCATATCAAAATCGCAATTTTCTTTCTAGTGATTGAAATCAAATGAGTATTTGAATAAATGTAAATGAAATACAAGGTTGTTATTGCGATTTTGATTGTCACATTGGCGTGTTTTCTTTTATTCTACTTAACCATATATTTAAGCATAACATTTTTAGTACACTATTTGAAATATTTGACCAAGTTAATTAATATCCTAGGTTTTTGTTATCTATAATAATTGACATGCATTACATATATCCTCTCTTGTTACTTTGAAAAGTAATGAGATTTTTCATTCCCATGTTAAAGAGAATTACACTTTTAGACTCCTTTAGCATACTACAGCAATTTAAATAGCTTAAAGTTCTTAAAAAAAAATTTTTAATCCCTAAAAGATTTAAACAAGTAACAGAGTTCATTAATACTTTACAGCCACTTTATGCTTCAATTATATATTTGACTAATAAACATTATTTAAATCTTCATAGTTTTTTAGGCTAAGAATTTAAAATGAAAATTAAACATTTATAAAATTTCATATTTTTATTACTGTGAGTTCTATACTGTTAAATTTGTATGCATTACTATTCTACAATTTATCAAAAAAAAAAAAAAAAAAAAAAAAAAAAATTCCCCCCCCTCCCCCCCCCCCACAAAAACTGTCTATCTCAAACTTCTTTTCTATTTCCATGCGATACAAAACATCAATGTTCAACTGAACTAAATATTTATTAAAAAGTGCAGTTTTAAATTGAATCTTGTAACAAACTTTTGCAATCTCAATACAATGCATCCGAATATTAAGATAATCTGTAGATAATGAAGTGTTGAAAGCATGTGCTTCAATTTAATGCTCAGAAAGGAGTATGGTTTTTGGAACAAATTATAATGCTTTTCAAAATAATAATAATAATAATAATACTAATAATAACTAATTTTCATATACACATAATTATGATTATATAAGCAAATCTTATACAACATGACTTTATGAAATGTTTTTGAACGCTAGAAGATATATAGATTTATTAAAAAAAAAAAAAAAAAAAAAAAAAAAAAACCTAGTAAGATAGCAGAAAAGCATAAAATTCAGATAAACAATTAAATAAACACACCTGGGGAAAACTAATTTTCCCGGAAGAGATAACTTTGGAGCTTCTCGAACAACTCCACCCAAATGTAGTTTTTTAGCAACAATGCCAACCTAAATAAAAATATTAAAATTTGAATATTAAATACTAAAAATCAAAAATAAATTATAATATTTTAAAGTACTAGGTCATGTGCAAAAAAAAAATTACACTAAAATATGTACTTATGCATAAGATGTTTAAGAAGTTACCAAATGGTTTTTCATGTTCTGCAGTCACAAGGTTTTGTTTAAGAATAATTAAATTTTAGTACCTTTAAATTACATTTCCCGTTTAATTTTCTTTCCAATGCTAGAATTAATTTGAAAAAAGAAAAGAATTTCAGTAGCTTTGATTTAAAAAAGGGGGCAATATGGAAGCCTCAGATAACTAAAATCCGTTCTAAAAACTTCCAACAGATTTGAACAAATTTTTTAAAATTCAAAACAAAAACTTATAAAAAGCAAAAAAGCTGTAATTTCATCTTTATATTTAAATACCAGCATAACACCTGAAATAATTTTAAGCTAAATAGTTGTAATAGATCGTCTAGCTTAAGAATTAACTGAGAGAAATTCAAAATACAAAATCCTGCCTAAACAAGCCATTGAAAAGTGTAATTCCAAATGAGAGGAATGGAGGAAGAACTTGCTACAATACTATCCAACAAGATAACACCAAGATCATAATCAATGGCACATAATAACTTCTGCAATTAATATTATTTGAGCTTTGCACTTTTTTATTGCCCATGAATATTACCGGATGAATCTGAACAAGAGAGAAAAACTTTAGGGGTGACACAAGCAATATTCGTCAAAGACTGTATGGTCAGAAGACAAATGGTGAGTCTATGAGTGGCATTGTAACTAAATGGTATAAAAAGGGTCGGCCCTCACATCCAATGGCATTTTCTACCATGTATTGCCAAGAGGATTGCTGGTTATACGAACCGCGAAATTTCCAGCTCGATGTATTGGTCGAGGTGGTCCCATAGCTTGGCCACCATGATCACTGAATCTCTTGTGTTTGGCCAAATGAAAAGCCTAATCTACGAGTGCCCCACTGAAACCAATGTGGATATAGTCGACAAGATTGCCACTTTGGCCCAGTCGGTATGGTGGTCAGGGAAGCTTACTGTGATGCCAAAGGACCTGGGTTCGAATCTCAGAGAAGGCATGGTTGTAACTGTCCATCCCTTCATAGAAAAGGCGATGGTGGCCCACCTATTAGGTGCCTCCATAATAAAGAGACCACCACATCCGGGCTTGTATAGATTAATGGACTGGGTTACATTTGTAATTGTTCACAATCTGCCATTGGGGGAGAAAAAAAAGGATCGCCACTGTTGCCGGCAATATTCAACAGATGCCTGGTGTCTTCACAAATGTGCATCAATCCCCCTATCCTGTAGGTGTAAAGCCTGCATTACAGCTATCAGATGGTCGTTTTTGAGTAATATCTATGAACATGTTCTATTAATAAAATGTTTTATGAAGTATCTCCTCTCATTCTTATATTATTCTTTAAATGTGACAGTGGAAAACTACACTTTATCTTCTCACTGCTTGTGTTCCCACCATTCATTCTATGCCAAATATTGCTCGTATAGCTGCCTTCTGTCACCCCTAATGTTTTGCCTTCTTGTTCAGATTCCTGCTGTATTTCCCATAAGTAGCATCAACTTCTATTTCATAAAGACATGAAAGAAATTCATATAGTGAAAACAATAAAAACTTTTAAGTTTAAAAAAAATTATTACAAATTTTAATATTTTTTTAAATATAATCAATTTTTAAAATATTACTATATTCTAACGAATAAAAGAATACAGTGAAACCCAAAACAATTTTAAATAAATAAAAAAAATTGCCTTACTTGTCATATAAAAAATAATATAATAGTCTAAAATTTTTTAATGTTTTTCTATTAACTCTATCGCATGGATATTTTGATAAGCAGATTATGCTTATATAAAGTATTTATTATGCATAATCTATAAGCAGATTATGCTTATATAAAGTATTTGTTGCAATAAGTGAAACTGCACAGTACTGAAATTTTAAATTAATAGTGACACAAAATAAATAAAAACTTAGATAATAATTACAAACAATTTTTTTCCTGCTTTGGTCTTAAAATATTCCCAAGATCAATGAGCAAATATAAAAAATGGAAGATATGTACATTTTGCCATGATAAATCTCAAATTTTTGTAATTGTGCTGAAAGTAACAGGTTACAATACAATTATGTCCTGACCATTTAAAATATTAGCATTAGCCACCTTAAAATAAAATACAGTTTACACTGCTTACAAAGTGAAAAAAGAATTTTTAATGATTACTAAAAAGGATAAAACTACATCATACTGATAGGTTGCATGAAATAACTAGAATTAACTTTAAATTCCTAATTTTCTTATTTAAAATATGTATTTTATCTAACCCTATTTAGCACATATTTTTTTTTTAATTCAAGAAATGTTTGAAAACATCTTTAATGGATTTTAATTGACCAATAAAAACTCAATTCAACTGGCCAATAAAAAATCGTCTGCTAGGCTAAAATAGTTCATATTTTTATATCTAACCATTAATTTACTTCTGTCACTTATCATCTGCATGTATCTCAAAAATTTCAGAACAACCTACATAGAACAGGAAGTAGAAAATTTCAGATTACACTGTATCATTTCACAGAATAATTTAACATAAAAAAATTCCTTAGAGAATGTAAAAAAATTGCACAAATATTTTGCTTTTATTCTTAAATAATAAGAAAAATAACTATTTTTGCAAACTAGCAAAATTAAATATCATCTGCTGATTGGACTTTCAACTTCTAAAGCAATGAATTTTAATTCTAAAAACATTTACTTCTGCATTTCTTTTAGGAACATAAAACGTCATAAATAGAAGAATGCCAAAACATTAACAACATACTACAGTCTAGAAAAATTACAAGATAAAAGTATACAATCTATATATTAATACAAAATTTCTTCATCACTGTTAAATTCCGTGTTGGATACAGACAATAGTGAATACAAGAAATTTTGCAACTCGTGTATTATAAAAATAAGAAGCTGAATTTAAAACAAGAATGAACATTTCCTAATGCCCTCTATACACGCATCTTAAAATAATTAATATGCTACATACCGGATTTTCAGCTGGTCTTGTTGCAACTTTTACCATCACATTAGCATTAAATATGTAGGATGAGAAAAATACCTGTAATTCAAAAAACAAAATAATACATTTATGCAAACTTAAAAATTCAAGATATTACTATTTCTGTTACTGAAGTATTGTGCTAGTAATAAAATACTCACCCAAAACACATCATATATTAAAAGTCCTGTCAGCAACAGGGTAGAAACTTTAAGACTGGGTAGACGGACAAAGGCTATAAATGCAACACAGAGGCCCATCCCCATGGCTGAGAAAGAATTTAAAAGAATGCAAATCAATAATAAATAATTTTAAATACAGTAAAACTTTTATTATCTATCAGTATAAAACTTTTATTATCTATTCAACATCACAACTAAGAGAATACAGGAATAACAGAAATGCCTCACCCACCAATAGATATGGGCAGTCAACAGTTAAAAATCCATTTTTAGAATAGAACAGATAAAAATCAGTATTGCACAGTAAAACCATAATAATTTTTAATTTAAAATAAATACTAAAAAAGAGAGAAAAAAATTTGAAAAGATTCAGACTTCAACAAAGCACCAGAGGGGTTTGTTATGATTTTTTATACTCTCACTAAGCATCACAGGTTACCAGTCTACTTTTAGACTCACTCTTGCTAACTCTTTTGTCTTTTTAACCTTTTTTTCTTTCTTGCTGTGTTCTGTGATTTCCAAAAGACAATATAGAAGCAGCCAGTTTATGCAATCCGTGATTTCAGCAAGGATGAATTTTTTTCTGTCTATTTAACTGTGCAACCCGCTCTTTTTCCGTTCATGGTTTCATTTCAGCTTTGTGATGTTTAACTGTCTATTTGGATCTGGGTTAACAGATGCCGTTACTTCTCCATACTTTTGTGAAATATACAAGCATGTTTTACTCCATTTTGCACACTCTTTTCAAAGTTCAAAGATGTCTGGCAAGAAACGTTTCGCGAGTGATATAAACTACATTCCTGACAATATTTCCAACACTGATAGCAATTCTGACTCTGATTTCAAGTACAGTACGAAGTCCGAAATCCGGACGTCTAATATCCGGAATGATCTAAAATCCGGACTTGACAAACCTCAACCAAGTTTTGCTTTAGACTTTATGCATGTACATTTGATTCCCCCTCTGTGCATAATAAAGCATCTGGACAGTCCTGAATCTTAATTTCACTTCGACACTAAATAAAATACCTTGTTATTGAAGAAACAATATTTTAGCATAAAATTGTACAATCAGTAATTTGCCTTTGTTGCTGCATCTCTGCTTGGCACACATATCAAACCGAAACATTCTGCATAGATATATCATTGATCTGATGCCAACCAGGAGAATCATTATTTATTATACTTTCCTTTCATCACCATGTTTATCAAAACATGACAACTTGGAATAGTGACTCATGTAGCGATGCCTAAACAATTTTTTTATGTTACTAGTTGAATAATAAAGGAGTATGGTAATAATATTTTATGTTGACATTACACCTGGCGATGATTACAGATTCAAGTTAAATGTGCTAAAAAATGTTGACAAGGAAAAATTTAACAAAAATTTCGTTCCATATGCTAAAAGTAGATTTTGTTAATGATACTCATAGACTCAAAGATTACATTTAGGGCTATTTGAATTAAGAATAACTGATTTGTTATTAACATAAACCCAAATACAGTGCCAGGGCTCGTATGGCCGCACCAAATCGCAGAATTTAGGACCCACAGAGACTGCATCGGGCGGTATGATATCTAGCGCCGGCCCTCAGTAAGGCTTAAGTATATGTGAGAATTTATTTATTCAGAACTCTGATAATAAGTAAATAAATAAACTAATACAATTCAGACTTAATTGTCTCAGTGCATGATAGAAGCAAGATAAATTTAATGGAACAACTTGTTGTTAGACGCCAAGTTCATGATGCATAGCCAAATATGTATAGTGAAGGATAGTTAAATTTGTTGATGATAGCCACTAATTTTAAAGGATTTCGAGTATCGCAAAGCAAAGGTGAAATTTTCCAATTAGCGGATTTTGTAAAGAAATGTGAAGAAGCAGTAATAAATGAATGGCAAAATCTGTAGTATGGTGGTTCTATATCCAGAAAATACCACTACCGATAGTGAAGAAAATGACAGAGAAGTCACTGAAAACATGAAAATTTCAATTGACAAGTTACTCGGAATTCTCGAAACAGCAGTTACAGGAATTCAACAGTGTAACTAAGTAAGAGATTATATCTGTCTACAGAATTAAAGAGAAAGTATTATCACAAAAAATGAAGCAACTTAAAACAACTTACATTGAAAGAAATGCTTAATAAGGTAAACAAATAAAGCTTTTTTTGTAAAAATTTTGATACCCTTTAGATCATTAGATTTAAACTGATGATCACTGTGGAATTCTTATATCCTTTATAAAAAGGATAACCTGTTGCAAAATATAATGCTTCTAGAGTTCCATTTGCAAATTATTGAGCTAAGCATTCAGACAGAAATATCAGTGGCACATGTAGTTCAATCCTCAATCCCATGAGACTAACTACTCGATATTTTGCTAGCCATATAGCCCCCAATTTCACCGGGAAAAAAGCCTCATAGACAGTGTGCTGTTTGTTGCTAACAAAAAACTGAAATGGCAAAAAAATTTGCAAAGGAATGCGAATTTGGTGCAGACTTGTTTCAAAGTTTATCATACTAAACTTCATTTCTAATAAATGTTTTGTAAATATTTTGTATATTTTCTTTAGCATCTACGTTTTACCTTTGTATTTCATAAAGTAAATCATAATTTAATGAAGATTAATTTTCAAAATATTGCTTTTATATGATTATTCTTCAACTTCAATTTTCTGACAACCTTTTTTTATGACCCAATTCTCTATTTGAAAAAAAAAAAAAAAAAAAAAAAAACTCTTTTGCAAACATTTTTGTATATTTTAACTCTAAACTATATGTACAATAAATAGAAAATAAAAAATTGTTTTATATAAAAGAACTCACTAGTTCTAAAGGTTATTATTTTATGAAAAAGAGCTCATTGATTCTGCAAGTACTGATAAACACTCACCATCCATAAGCAACCAATGTCCAGTCAAAACCCATATACAGACTATTGTGACTGACAAGGCAAAAGAAACTAGTTCAGCTGCTGTAAATCTCCCACACATACCAAATGATATTCTGGAAGGGAAAAAAATAGATGGGAAAAAAGTACACGCAAATTAAGATAATTTAAAAAAAAAAAAAAAAAGTTTTTTTTTCCAATTATATTACATAGGTATTACAAAACTTTTTTTATAAAAAATTAATTACAGTAAAGCTTGTTTGTAAAATTATCAGTTAACACATATATAAAGTAAATATGTTTAAAGTTCAGTAGATTATGACAACAAAATTAAAACTGCATTCAAAGCTGTTTGTCATTAGTAAGAAAGAGTAGGTTAGGTAGCCACTCAGTTGGAATAGAGCATAACATTAATTCAGATGTATTATTAAAATAAGGCCATAAGTATCAATAACTTATTTAAGACACCAGCAATCAACCCATAGATCACTACACTCACAGTCAACTCATAAACGTGGGACATTGCAATAAATTTTGCTGTATTAAAATAAACTAACGAACACCTATGACCAACAAGGCCATTTATCATCAATAAACTACAAGTTAATAGTCACTTATGGTTGACTATAAATCACTGTGAAGTGGTACAATAAATTTATAGATTATTAAAATAAAATTTAATTGAAAGCCACTAGTTCACATTAAGGTAGCTGATATTCATCAAAAGTCAACCCCTAGGCTCCAGCGTGGAGCCAGTGCATTAAATTTAGAAAGATTATTAAATAAAATTAAAATGAAAGCTACTGGTCACCCATAGTTTGACATTCGTAAATGTAGGACAGTGTGATGTTTTATACAGTAGCAAAACTGAAGATACATGGATAACAAATGCATGGTAATGTAACATTCCAAAATTTTGGTTAGGACGCTTCTAATGCTCCTAACATAAAAATGAAAAAGAATTTTGATTATCAAAAATTATTTCTACAAGGTGAACAAGAGAAGGAAGGTGATGTTACTGGTTTCATCTTCTTAAATGTTGGTCCTAGATATATACTTCTAATTACAAAGCTACTAAACCAAAATTTTATTTTTACAAATGCTAAACGTTAGTGTTTAAGCCAATTCACGGGCTCTGCAGTACTTTTTAACAATGTCCTCATAGAAAGTGCCATACAATTATTTAAATGTTTAAAAAAATCATAGGCTGATTGGAGTCACAAAAATACAGTTTGGGGTATCCACCTCTCCAATTCTGTACAGGTGGTCTTGCAAACAGTCACGTTCAGTTAGACGTCTAAATAGAGCTACCACTATCTTTCTTGGAAAAATTGGAATGAACGTTGCCTCTTTCCCCAGAATCTTCCACCTGTTATCCATATCTAGTTAAATCACAACTTGCTTAAGAATTTTGTTAAGAGTCAGGATAACAAACAGTTTAGTCGTATGAAAAGAAAGCGGTCGATTAACGTGTTGCATTAACAAAGTTCCTTAGCCAATGTATCTAAAACAAAATAAGGCTGAGAATTTTAGGAAAACAATTTCAGCATTGTAGATTGAAGGACTCTATAAAGATAAAAACTTATTTGGCTCCACTGAATAAAATTCCCAATTAATAAAATATTACTATGCTTTAACTTATTGCACAAAGTTATGTACTTGTAGCCTATAGTGTTAAAATGGTGATCTTTCAACTGAACTACTAATTTGGAGAAAGATAAATGTTATAATATCAGAGAAACAGGAACTCGTATCAGAACGGCTGAAGAACTGCAAAACTAATGAAATGCACTTTTGTGTTAAAAATCAGTAATTTGAAATACTGCTACAAAACATGAACAATGCCGTGATCCGGCGGATCAAAAAGGCCTAAAAACCACCAGTAAGTCACATGGCAAGTTAAAGTGATAAGCATATCCCATTTTTGGCCATATATGAACAACTTTTTCTTATTTTTTTGGTGGCATACAAAACATTGAGAAAAACCAGTAATGTTGGTTCACAGTTTTTCCTTGAAGAAATTCATTGAGAAAAATATCGACTATCCCAAAAGCAAATCAGCATCAATTTGATAAATTTTTACTAATTTGCACCATAAGAAGTTACTGAGCCCTTCCTGACTTTGATAATTTGTTTCCAAATCATTGATACATTTCAGATTTAAACACAGATTTTCTGAAGTCTCTCTGCATGAATGTGGGTCCTCCAAAACCAATCCACCAGATGCCTTCTTCAAGCTTACTTTCTGAATAAAATTCCATGCACTGTAAAACAATTTAGCTCACTTCTAAAAATTTACCATTTTCGTTCACAGCAGATAATCGGACTGAAAAGGATTTCTGATTCTTAACAACAATTTTGTCCGTTTTGGATGTTTAAGATCTTTCAAAGCGATTCTTATCTTCAAGAGTTTTACAACACTCTGAAGAGTCCATATACCTATTTCACTTTTCTGAAAGTTTCAATTGCATTTCCCAGAGTTTCACAATATACTATTGAGCAATACAGTTCAAAATTCTGATGCTCCATTATTATTGTTATGTTTTTTTTACTCTTCTGATACCAGTTGTTACGTTATTTTCTTCCTTCGCGTTTGTAAGGGATTCGTAGATTTGGAGTGAATAACGACGACACCTGCTTTTCTTGCATAGAAAGTATCAAAACACACTTTATTTACCAATAATTCTCAGGACAGCTCCAAAATCACTTTTACAGTCATCGAACTGTTATAAAGATGCTGAAACGTTCAGCAACACAGCCTTCGCACTGTCAGGTAATAATGGTGGAGTCAGCTTCACTGCAAAGCACCAGAGTACAGCTTCTGACTCTGTTTTGTCGTTCTCGGAATTCTACGTACTCTCGAGACTCTCTACACGATGCACTAAAAGACTCTCTCGATGCACTCAACGACCAACTCGGCGCTAGACTTCAAGACACTCACTCAATGACTGACTATCAGCTCGCTAGACAAGGCACACACACTGACTGACTGCGGACCAGCAGGGTTTATATAGCTTTTGGCTTGAGTTTGAGAACATTCTGGGCTAAACCGGTAAGAATTCATTCCAGAAGGTTCTCCATCAGTCCATGGCATATCGCCAATTTTGTCACCAAATGGGCGATTTCTTGACAAATGTGACAACCCTGCCTTCCCTTGCTATTTTATGGCAACCCTAAAACTGCTTTGCGGGGAAGCTATCTTACCGCGCCTGTACATTTTGTAACATTATGACACATTGCAGCAAGATGCAGAAAATATGATCTGAATAGATACATATTTATGGCAGACAGACAACAGAAGTTTATTCTGATGGTCAGAGATGTTATTAAATCTCTCTCATTAAATGGAAAAGCAGTAGGGCTGCTAATACTTATGCAAATTGAAAAGTGTTTTTGCTCTCCTATTCCACTTAATAGTTCATTTTCAACGACTGGAATTCTTATTAATGACTGAAGTTACCATTATTTTAAAAAACTACCACAGTTTGCATTTTATATGTACCCGGCCCACCAGAATACGATCAATCATCTGGAATTTCTGATTATCTGAAACAGCTTCAATCCTATTTAGCCTAGATAACTGTGTCTAGTAGATGATTATACATGTTACCACGGTCAAAAGTCGTTAATTCGGACACCTATAATTCGGAATGATCTATAATCCGGACCTCAAAGCTAAAAACTTTCTGCGCATGCTCCGCGTTGACACATGCATATAGGCGTTTACGCGTGCGCGTAAGACCTCTTACGACTGCGCATTTGCTTGTGCGCAAGCGCAGAATACGTTTTCACTTGCGCGTTTTATGTATAACGGACGGTGTAAGCTAAAATTATCTAATTATCTATTTCAGTTAATGTTGATGATTGCGTTGTTCCTTAATTTTCGAATTGGATCCGGCTTATTATTTTTTTCAGACTGTAAGAGCAATACTAAAAAGTAAACTTGAACTTTCGATTATGTCAAATAGAATTTTTGATTCTGGAGCTCCCAAAGAATCGTACAAAACGAAAGTATGTTTCGATGTCCACCAAACAAAAAGTGGAATTGCTGCAAAAAATGGATAAAGACATGAAGAATGTGACAGAGAGGTTAGTGAAAACGAAAAAATTTCGATTGACAAGTTAGTCGGTATTCTCGGCACAGCAATTAACGGGACTTGAACAGCGGAACTTTGTAAGTGAACAAAAAATTATGTCTGTTTATAGAATTAAAGAGAAAGTATTATCACATAAAACGAAGCAACTTAAACAACTTACATTGAAAGAAATATTTAATAAAGTAAACAAATAAATATTAAGCTTTTTTTTTTTTTTTTGTAAATTTTGATACCCTTTAGATCATAATTGTTCTTTATTTCATAAATTACGGTTTCATATTTTTAATTTTAGAATTTCTGCATGCCATCTTACGCAATTTAAACTGATGATCTATAATCCGGAAAAATCAATAATCCGGATCTATAATCCGGAAAAATCGCCGAAGTCCCGACGAGTCCGGATTAATGACTTTTGACTGTATTAATGCATTTGAATCAGAGTACCATTGACTATTCAGCTGTACCCTACTCAAATCCATTAACTGTCTCCAAAATTACATGTACAAAGTTATTTGGTCACATTATATCAGTTTCATATTTATCTGCTTTTCTTGCATAGAAAGTAACAGTAACAAATCGGTAGTTTGTTCTAAAATTTATATATTATCATAGAAGTTGGAAAACTGGTAAATGTGAATGTTTACTACAGTGAGGTGGTAAAAATCTGAAAAATGTTTGTAAGCATTTTCTTTCTGAGCTTCTGCCATTTCAGTAAATCAATGAATATGTTAATAAACAATATAACCAATATAAAAAATGGTAAAGTGTAAAACAGAAACACAAATTTTTGTAATATATCCTTTTGATGACGAAAGGGAGTTTTATTAAGAGAATGCTCTTTTAACATCCCATTCCATTTACAGTTTTTAATGAGCAATACTAATTAAAAATATGGATCTAGTACAACATATTTCATATAAAAATTTAACTTCATAAATAATATCCTAAAACTCACATCTTCAAATTAAAACAGATTTAAAAAATACAGTCATAATCAAACAAAATGGACTTTTACTACAATGATAAATGTGAGCATTTATGGTTTATAATTATTTTACTATATAGTTCATTTATTATTTCAATGAGAAATATTTTATGAAAAAAACAAAATGAAAACATTTCCAAGCAGTTTTCAAACTTCCCCCTCCTCCATATGGTAAATGCTAGAATTTATTAACAAAGACAAGAGTTTATTTATTTTTAGGCTTTTACAGTGGCATATATAGTAATAAAAATAAATAACTCCATGCTACATAATACATGGCACTAGAAAAATTATTAATTGCCATGATGTTGCAAAGATTTATAATTATGAATACATACATTAGAATTTCTATGTATCTTCAAATTTAATACTAAACCAGATTTAAATTACTAAGAACAGTGTTCATAAACTATTCAGTTCACTATGCATTTAAATCTGACTGAATGTCACATCAAATGGCAATGCTTGGAAAAACCAGCTATTTAACTGGTGCAATGGAAGATAAAGATCTGATACCTTAAGCAATGGCTATGCTGCATGGATGATAAAAAATGCCATAATGTAATGGCCTAATAAATTTTTAAAAGATTCTGCTAGTCATTTTTGAAGGTCAAAAACAAATTAAATTATGAAAAACTGTAAAAGTTCATTTATAATTCTCTGAAAAATCACTTTTTGAAGAATATAAATAGAATGTTTATCAATGGCTTACTTGTTTCCATCAGAACACGGTCGAATGATATATTGACACATTGGCAGTAGTAGAAAAGCTAATGCTATGGTTGCTATGACTGAAAAAATAAAGCTGTATCAATATGATTATACAACATTATGCAGTTAACATTCATAAATTACTTACAAAAATTGCTACATTTTGAAAGATTCATCCGTATGAGACAAAACATAATTAACACAAGAAAGTTGTAATTAAATTATGTTATTTTTAAATTTTTAATTCAACTTTTCCATCACACATGCTGCTAGAAATTTCTTGACCTTTCTGATCATAGGTTATGGTTCTAGCTTAAGAAATGAATTAAATTGGATAAGCCTTCATATAAATCTCATGCATGTGATATAATAAAATATTAACTTTTATATGGGTGCTCTGTAAAAAAAGTTTAAAATTTCAACACACTTCTAATTTATTTGAGCATCTTAATAAAGAAAAAAGTGGCCTGTAATATCAAAAAGTTACAAAAAAACTATCAGTTTTATGATTTATAAAACTAATTTTCATTAAACAAAAAGTTTTTTAATTTCGATATTTCTGCAAATAGCATTTTGAAGCCACATTTCTATTATAATGTTTTTTGGTAAAATGGAACACTAAATTTACATTTTTGCAATGTTAAAAGCATCTTTTAGCAAAAAGTTTACTAAAAGCATCTTTTAGTAAACTATGAATGAAGTTTAATCTGTACCTGTCTGTAACAATATTATTTGTATAGAAACCCCAAACTTTAGTCAATGATATAATGACCGGAACTACTGCAGTCGAAAAATCTACTTTATTTGATTCTTACTGACAATCAACTATTTAATCCTGAGGAAACACCTTGTATAATATTGTTGCAAGTTACTAGTTTATTGACCAGTTACTAGTTTATTGACCAGTTAACATCACAATAAATAACAGCAAACAGATATTTAAACAATTCCTATTTAGCATATGAGAAATATCATCAGTTGCTCAAATCACTGGCAGAGTAAGCTTACAATTTAGCTAATGCTAAATTCTCGCAGTTGAATAACAACTAACAGCAGCAATATCAACAACAATAACAACTCCTATTAGAAGCAAATTTATCGCATAACATGAATAAGGGCCTGGTGAAACACAAGCTTCCGACACACAATCTTCTGGAAGTTTCAAGAAGATTCGATTGGCAAGGCCTCGAGGAATGCAATTGCTTACATCTCATGTTTTATTTAATTTCATAAATTAAATGTTGCCACGCTAAAAGCCACAAGCTCAAAAATTCCATATACGAAATAGTTAGGAAAAAAAATATGCCCACAAATACAAAATAAATAAATAATTAATCATTGTACAATATTACAACACTGCAATAAAAAAGGATTTAAATATATACAAATATAAAATAGCCTCTAAAAATTTTCACCAATGATATATAGTGATCAGAACTATCACAGTTGAAAAATCTAGTACTTTATCTGATTCTTTCCTGATACTACAGCCATGGATCAATTATCAACTATTTAATCCTGAGGAAACACCCTGTATAATATGACAGATGATCAATCACTATAGTTTAGCAATGCTGACTGCTCTATCGATAGGCTCGGAGAAGGCAGCAATGTTTGTTAAGCGTATAATGCTTGTGCAGCAAGAGACACTCAAAATACATGGCATGTCCTCTCGAGAAGTTGGTGATAGTGAAAGACTGGTGGGAGACCCTCGGATGTCCTCCACCTTGGATTATCCCTCTAAAAACTGGGGCAGAACTGCACATTTAGTGCAGCGGGACTATATACCTGTATGACTAATGGTGAAATTCTGGTGTCTTGCCTGCTCCTACCTGTATAGTATAATACATTACTGATTTGTATTGCTACTCTTACACAAGACGCAGCAATGCTTTAAATTCAGAATTCGGGAACTTTACAATCCCCCTGCCTTACATTCATAGATTTGAAACATAAAAATTTCTTAATAATTATCAAGGAAAACACAACTCACTTGCTGTACATATAGCGAAGAGCATCTGCATGGAATCGAAAAAGAAAAACATGACGAGAAGAGAAATCGAGGCCCCAAGTGGTAGACACAATGCCTGCATCGTGTCCAAAGTTTGCACATCTGAAAATAAACTCAAATTCAGCATTCAAACAATAGACATAAAATATTCCAATCATAAATAAAATTTTTTCTTAAAAAAAGAGGTAAAGAAAACAAAGTGATCAGAAAAATAAAATAAGCTACAATGGCCATTCCATAAGTCTGAGCAAAAATTATGAGTGGTGCTCCACACTGTAATTGTTGATGTATCACTTTGCACATGCTTTGCACATGAATGTATGTCTAATTATAAACAGACCTGACATTTAGATGTAGTGATTTTAGTTCATCAGTTCTTCTTACTGCTTATACAATAAAAAAACGCTATTATGTATATTGAAAAAACATCAATTTTTATAAAAAAAGCAGAAACAAAAAATAAATGCACGTCTGATAAATATTATGGTGAGTAACTTTTACTGTACAATGAGTTTACCATACTGTTTTTCATTATGGCCATTACAAATGATACTGAATGTCTCAATCATTCTGAAGTTATTATGTGGGACTAAAAACAGCCAAAATTAATGTGATGAATTATAGGCAACTGAAAATGTTGTGATGACTGAAATCACATGAACCTTATAGATGGTGATTAGGTCACTCTTTTCAATCTCATTAGCCAAAATAAAACAAAAACAAACAAAAAAAAACTGTAATACTTTAATACTCTGAATTTTGAATCAAGTGCTCTGAGTGCTTTAATGCTCTCAATTTTCTTTTAATTATTGGGTGATCTCAAGTTCGTTAATGCTCTTAATTTTCTTCTCAATTCTTGAGTGATCTCAAGTACTTTAATACTCTCAATTTCGGATTCCCAAAGAGTGCCACTCAATTTTTTCCAAACTGCCAGTTCGTCAATTTTCAGTGTAAATGGTCAGTTAAATTTTTCAAATTTTTTCTAATGATGAAAATATTTAACTTCTGCATAACTAAAGATAAAATAACTGATTTTACACATGACTTTACATAAATAACTTTCAGTGCCAGGCACTATTTAAGCACCTTCTTAAAACTTTACTTAAATGCTTCTATTTATTAGGTCAGGAAGTTAGAAGTAAACTTACTTTCACACCAGTGACAACAAAAGCAAGACACTATTTCTTAAAACCTAGTAAATAAAAAAACAACATGTAACTACTTTATAATTTTGTTTTGCTTTAGAATAGAAATTATTGGGAAAATGTCACTGACTTTTCTGAAAGTAACTTGGATGAATTGATGAGTGTTCCATGTTGATAATAAGCTCTGTAATCTCACTGTTAATATATTTTTGGAAATCTTACTACCTCTCACATATTGAAACATTGAACTGTAATTAAATTATCACTCTGATCAAATGCTGACTTGTCCCTTTGATTGGATGATTCTTTTTGCCAATGATTAAAGCAAAAGAGTCAGCCAGTGTTTAAGAACCATTTTGTTACTCCTTTATGCAAAACGTGTTTATTCTTTGCCATATTAATTATTGTTTTTTCATATTTCTTCCACTCACATATGGAGCTTTCACCAAACATCCTTGTTGCAGCACGTTTTCCAATTTTTTTTCGCAAACTGAATCACTGGTCTTCCAAGACCAGCACAGAGTTTGCTTCAATTGGCAAGAGCTACATTTAGTAGTACTAATAGGAAGATTAGATTAATTGTACTTGCAAAAATGCGATTTATTAAAGCCTTCAATGTTCACTTCAAAATTATGATGGCTCTTAACAATTACAGAAATAGAAATGACTCCTAATTCCACAGATTCATTCTGGTCGGAAGTGCATTCTTACCCCAAATTCTGTCCCTTATTATAACCTATAACATTATAATCATTTCTATTATAACCTCCCTTTTCTCAAAACCCTAGACTAACATTCTTGTGCACATTTGCACTGAATACAAATCACCCTCTTTGCAGATTTATTCACTCAAGCATTTTCCCCCTCATCAGTTTAGTATACCAATGTTTGAAAGCCTGTGAAAAATCCTCGAATGAATGATTTCAAAAGATAAGAGCATCACACATGTATCTTTCAGAATTCTTGGTAACGAAAAGGGTGCACGTTATATGGCGAATATAACTAAAAATTTAAAAAAGTAGTTTGAAATTATAAATGCGCATTATAAGCCGGAATGTATTTCCAGGTTCTGCAAAAGCTGCCTTTGCTAGCGGTGCACCAAAGCTTTTAGAAGCCCACGCAACACTGTATAAATACAAATTTATCAGTTATTAACCAGCTGAGACTTTGTGGTTCAAAGAGAGTTAGCTAAATTATGTTTTAGTTTAAAGTGATTTAGGGAATCGAAAGTAATTTTTGTATGGTAAGAAAGAATTGTTCAATATCCTCACTTTCCTTGAGCTATTAGCTATTTCCTGATTTTACAATGGATACATTTTTAATTTTTAAAATAGAATTGAGTCGGAAACAACAGTCGGAAAAATCGCCAAAAATCAGTAAACTGAATTAGAGATTTGGAATTAATTTCTTTTGAAAGACTTTTCTGCTCTAAGCGATGATATAAGCAGTAAAATTCAAGGATTCAGCATTAAATAAAATTTATGATAAAAAAAACTTCATCGTTAAATTTTAAAAAAACCTAAAGAGAATTTTGAAAAAAAAGCTCAATTCAAGCTGCATATCTTAAACGTCCATATGAGAGAACAATAGTGTGGAAGTTGGGAACGTGTGTTCCAATGTCCACACTATCGTTCTCTCATATGGACATAAACAGGAGACATAGAGCAACATTTTTTCTTTTAGTTATAGATTGAGTTGCACATATAAAATGAATATGAATTTCATAAAAAAATCATTTTTATTAATTTGTAAATTAGGGTACCTCCTTTTGTGTAACATTTTTTACTTAAGATATATACAGTCAAAAGTCATTAATTCGGACACCCATAATCTGGAATGATCTATAATCCAGACCTCAAAGCTGCAAACTTTCTGTGCATGCATCTCGTTGACACATGCAGGTAAGACCTGTATGGCTGTGAATATGCGTGTGCACATGTGCATAATACGTTTACGCTTGCGCATTTAATGTATAACAGACGGTAGCTAAGCTAAAATTCATTTCAGTTAATGTTGCGATTGCGTTGTTCCTTAATCTTCGAATTGGATCCGGCTTATTATTTTTTGCAGACTGTTAGAGCCAATTATATAAAAAGTAAGCTTGAACTTTCGATTATGTCAAATAGAATTTCCGATATATATTTAGTAATATGTAAAGGATCTACAAAGCGAAAATATGTTTCGAAGTCCATTAAACAAAAAGTGGAATTGCTGCAAAAAATGGATAAAGGCATATCCTTTGTTTATCTAACCATTCCGAAATCTGTTTATCAATTTCACACTGCTCTGCCGAGGGGGGCGTCGCTGCGCGCAATGAACTGGAAGTTGATCTGTCAGCACTATCCTTATCTTCAAAGCAGATGTTTTTATTTTATTTGGCTTATAATTCCCTACTAAATGTAGTATTTCATCTTGATGTACTCAGTCTTTGATATGATTTCAATCAAATTCCTCGTCATTATAATTTGCTTCCGATAAAGAAGAAAGTGACACAGAAGTTATTGAAAACGAAACAACTTACATTGTAAGAAATACTTAATAAAGTAAACAAATAAATATTAAGCTTTTTTTGTGTGTGTAAATTTTGATACCCTTTAGGTCATAATTGTACCTTATTTCATAAATTATGGTTTCATATTTTTAATTTTATAATTTCTGCATGCCATCTTACCAGATTTAAACCGATGATCTATAATCGGGAAAAATCGATAATCCGGAATCGCCGAAGTCCCGACGAGTCCGGGTTAACGATTTTAGACTGTATTAGATTTATATATGGCATTGTTCTAATATAGTTATTTTGACACAAAAACGGACTTTTTCTGAAATGACATGGCATTCCCCCCCCCTTCAATATTTCGATTCTATGACTCAAATTATGCCAAACTGCCAAGTTTTGTAAAAAATGCACGAGTAGTTTTTTAAAAATCAACTCTCAAAATTTTATCTCCTCAATGTTAATTAAATTTTATATATATTTATTAATATCTCTTCTTTTTATTACACTTACTTGATTCCTTCTTCCAGAATTCGAAATTTAGACTTAAAGCAAATATAATTCACCCACTTACATATTTTATGATTTATTTTAAATTTTTCGAAAATTTTTTTAGTGTTATGACCTATAAAATTTTCAACATCTTAAAGTAGATGTATTTCTAGGCACACCTGCAAAAAATTAGAGTTTTTCATTCGCAATTTTCTAAGATATACATAAATTTACATATTGGCGCGTTTTGAAATATGGCATACATGTTATAAGCGATAGTAACGCCAAATGTGTTTTACGCACGTTGTTAAAATTATTTGAAAGTATGAACGATGACTTTTTCCCGCTCGTGTACATTAAAAAAAAAAGGGGGAAAGGCAAATAGGTTGCTATAAATTAAGAAGCTCGCCAAGTGAATTAGTCTTGACGCAAACTCATAAAAATGTGCCACGATAAATTTTTGAATTTCTCCGTAAATTTCGCACAAAATGTTACAAAATTTACTATTTAGGCAAAATTTGAGTCGTAGAATAGAAATATGGAAAAACAATTGTCATGTCGCTTAAGAAAAAGTCCGATTTTGCGTCAGAATACCTATATTAGAACAATGCTGTATATAAATCTAATATATATCTTAAGTCGCGCTATTAGAACAACGCTATATATAAATCTAATATATATCCTAAGTCGCGCTTCCGAGATTAAAATTTGAATTTGATCAATTGGCCCAGTAGAACGGGAGACACAGAACGGTCCTACCCCCCCCCCCCCCGCAGTATACATTATTATGGTTTCAAAAGTTTGCCTGAAAACGTGACGTAAAATTTTACCGGGAAAGTATGAAATCCGGCTTCTATAGAATGGCGGCAATTGGCCGGCAATGTATGAAACGATTACACATTTCACACACTGCCTAGGCATGTAGAATGCCAAATGACAAACCAGCAAAGTATGAAATTCATCTGCGATTCTTTCCAAATAACCGAAACTACTTATCAAAAGTTAATAAATGATGTAAAAAAAGCCAAAATGACTACTGAGAAGGAACCACAGGACTATTGGCTGCTGAATCAGTATGTGATGTGACGTTTGTTCAAAACAAAAGTACACCCATTTATCCCATTAAAAGAAGGCGTCAGTACTATACAGTATTACGTCACGGACACTAAGTTATTTCATATACTATTTCATCAAATTCATTTGTCTGTTGGACACCGAGGACGTGACAAAATATTAAATGACTTTCAGCCAAATACACAAAAGGTTACGCATGATGATACTGAACTGTACACCCACCTTTGTTAGCCCTGACAGAAACAAAATTAAGCTATTAAAAAGAGCATTGTTGTGAAACCGATGTTTCCTCCCCCCTGAATTTAATGCCCGTTGTCAGGTACTCTTGATGATTTCTGGTCTTAGACAGACAGAGCATAAAAATTTATTACGGTATACCAAGATCATCTAATTTTTTTTTTTTTTACGTGTTATTTTGAATAAGGCAGTCTTCCATTATTTTTTTAAAAACATTTGCAATTTTGAGGAATGAACGTCTTTTAAATAATAGCCCTAACGTGACCTTTTTTTTCTTACGCTGCCAAAAGAGCATCTGTCATTCTATAGAATGCCTAGGTATTATACATAAAGTGCCTAGGTAAAGTACATAATAATTGTCATATTTCATACTTTGCCTAAAATCGCCAAGCATTTCATACATTGCGGGTAATATATTCACAGATCTTCCCTTCTTTGCCAGATTTACTTCTTATATTAAGGAAAGGATCGTCAGACATTGACACTGTTTGCATGTGCTAACGAGAATGTAACTTTATGTTACTTATGAAATAAGTATATTTACTATAATGCAGGAGAACAACAAACCTTCGCTGTCCCTGGTAAAAGACTTGGTACATCTTCAGGAGCTACTCAAAATTTTAACTTGAATCGTGGAGTACAATTACTTTGTGTATTCTTTCATGTGAATTCTAATAAAGGCAGAACCAAAATTATTCAAATATAAAAAATGGTTAATCTTTTGATTATGGTAACTTGGCGAGTTTTGGCGACCAACCCTGCTACAGCAACTTGCTAGTTTGTTTTTGGACGCCATTTTGTTTTCACGAAGAAGGCTTTTTTTTAATCAACATTATTTCCAACAATCTGCTAGCCGAATTACGCTTATGCTAGAACTTTTATGGAACAAAAGTGCTTAATCATGACGAAGATTAGGTGCGAAATTGGGAGAAAGTGCACAATCGCCCACTGCTTGCCGCGTTTTTAAGAATTGCACATACACGGTATCATCCATGTACACGTCGACCTATTTTCACTTAAAAAAACCATCCCAGAATTGCACAAAAAATGGCACTGCACACACTCTTGACTTTATCCATGTACACTGCTAAAGTCCTAGCTAGTAACCTTTATCGCCTTACCAAAATGTCGCCAAACTACCTGTTACCATATTCAAAAGATTAGCCTAAAAAATAAACTAAAATTATAATATTAAGTAGAAAAGAACAGAAACAGAGATTTATTTGTTGTTTTAGAAAAATTTTCGTATTTAGGAAATCCTAAGAGTATCCATAAAAATCTCAGAAATTCGCAGCGGAATAAACTTACTACTATAACCATCGCATTCAAAACTATCGCTAAATTTATATCTTCAATTAAGTAAACCTGTTCACCAAAATACCTTTGTCCGAATCATTCGAACTGGCGGGGGGAGAGGGTCTTCTGATGTAATGTAACGGAAGCGCTGTGCATTCAGCGAATTTCTCAAAAATTATATATCTACGAGAGGGATGCAGGGTGGAGAAGACATTAAATTAGCTTCTTTTCTTCTTCGTGATCCATCTCAGCGATCAAACGGAGAAGGCACAGAAGCATGAAATGTATAGTAAAATAAGGGAAAAAACAAATATAACAACAACATGAAATACGTCTACTCACTGTTATCAGATTGCCCATTCCGTTCTTTTTCCTTCTGTTTTGCTTCTTGTTCCATGTTCAGAGACCTGTGACGACAGAAAAGACAATGTTTTGATCGAGAACATAAAAGAAGAGAAGAAATTTTATGACACACAAGAAAAGAATAAACACTCTTTTTTCCTTTCCCAACTGCTCAGCTTGACCGATGCAGTTTTTTTTTAAATTAACTTACAGTTTAACCGCTTCTCTTACAAATTTTTTTAAAAAAACAAATTTTACAAATTACAAATTTTTTTTTCGGAATTTCCAATAAATTTACATCATTTGCTGCCAATTCAGCCAGCTGATTTCCAGCCTTCTCATGTCCTTGTATTCCTACGTGCACTGGGCCCAACTAAGTACTGGACGTTTATTTTGACGGAGTCTGAGCAGAGAACTTTCCTAATAATATGAACTTGTTGACTTTTACTTTTCAATCCGTCATGGCAGACGCAGAACCGTTGTAGTGCATTACGTTTTTCCAATGCTACTATTACATAAATAATTGCTGCTTTTAATGCAGCAAACTCAGCTTGAAAGATTGTGTTGCTTTCGTTTAGCCTTCTTTTCCAAGTATATATTACTTCTTCACATTCTATTGCCTGTACTTTTTTTTCAGTTTTCGATCCATCCCTTTACAACGCTATGTTATTTTTCTTTAGAGCTGCATATTCCATTTTAATACCATTTGCTACGTCAATAGTCGGTGGGTGACCTTGTGCTGTTACATTACAGGTTTCATAATCCGGAATCAAATTAAGATCCCACAGGACTGTACATAGAACTACAATAACATCTTAGTTGCGCACCTATTGTAATCGGCAGTACCAAATGTGTATACATATATTTACCCATTTACCTGGCTTAAAAGTGGGCCAAGGGAGCAAATAACGAAATCTAACTCCTAACGCATAACTCCTCTCGATTCCCATACGTATATTTGGTATATGTATATTTGGTATATGTATATTTGGTATAAGTTTCACTCGCGTACGACAAATACTAACTGGGATATTTAATTTCAAAATTCTCAATTTTTGATGTCATTTTCAACTCGTTTTGAATCATCGGTAAATTAAGTTAGAATAATTCGAGGAAATAAGTTTAATGAAGTGTAGCAGAAAATGAGTATAACTTGTAGAGACATTAGGATTTTTGAAAGCAAGAGAGATGAAAAATGAGTAAAGCCCTCACCGGGACGCATATTTCACAAGTGCACATCTGTGTAGCCACCGAGAGAGTGGCTTCTAGGATGGACCAATGGGCATACAGTAACATTTCTATCATGTCACATGACCTTTCGCGTGCTTTAAGATTTAAGCAAGATGGTTGAAAATATTTTGCCACGCAATTTTCTGTACAAAATAATTAAAGCATCGTCGATTTCTTCTAAAATCTTCATTGCAAAGTAGATCAAATATAAGAAATTGTGAAGTTTTCACTACCTGATTGAAAGAATTTGAAATAAATACAAACACGTGTTGGACACTCCGCAAAAATATCCATGTGAAATATTACTTAATAAAAAGTAAATAAGATGAAGAAAGAAATATGTAATGAACAATCTGATCCCAAATGCTATCTTTACATAAAACTATGCATATAAGAAAAATATTTACACCAGTTCTATATGTAAATAGAAATCAGCATTTTTTATTGCAATCTATGAGCTGTTCTATAGTAATAGCAAATGCAGAATTTTATTCAAAGTGAACTTCACTAATTTGCATTCGTATTCATTTAGTGTGTTAAATTTCACATTTAAGAACTGCTCACTCTTAAGTATACTGTCTACACAAGAAATGCTCATCAAACACTTTCAGTCCTTTTCAGCTCAATAAAAAAAAAAAAAAAAAAAAAAAAAAAAAAAAAAACTATACACTTGAATTTTGTTAATTCACAGGTGTTAGAAATAACTCAGTTAGTTAATTAATTCATAGTTAATTCACAGGTTAGGTGTTAGTTAATTCACAGGCGTAATATTCGAGGCTAATTGTAGTGTGAGTCATTTTCTCAATGTAAAGAGCCATAATATGCCCTGAACATCAATCCAAATAATAATGCGTGATAAAAATCGCGAAATTGAAATGTCAGCAATTAATTAAACTCATAAAACGGAAGGACAACGATATTTTCTACTATTATGCTATACATTTACAACTGCGAAAGAAATGCAAATTAAAACATAAACAACATACACTCCCATGTACGAAGATTTAGCGTCATAAGAGCAATAAAAGCTCATTGGTCCATTTTTGAAACCCCTCCCTCAGTGGCTACGCTGATGTGCACTTGTGAAATATGCCGCCGGGATTCCATCCACGGACCTCTCGAATACGCGCCGGGCGTACTTACCACTACACCACGAAGGCATGCTAAGAAGGCGGGAGAAATACCTTATAAACTTAATAGAGAAGTCATGTGGTACCTACATCAATTTTTTTAATTATATTTTTAAACTGTTTTGCTTTTAAATGCAGATTTCAAATTTTGCTTCAGTTAAAAATTTTTAATTTTAAATCTCAATTTATCTCCCCTTTCCTCCTTATTATTCTAATATATACATGTTTTCTATGTATCTAATACGTACATATTTTCTATGTTTAGTTCTAAAGTATTCTATTTTTGGACATAGCAGAGATAAAATTCCAAGTCGGTGAGAAATAGGATTAATGTATAACAGGATTAAATAAAATAAAAGTAACATTTTTCTATCATTTAACAAATAATAATTTTCTTATCCGAGAGGGGGGAAGGAGAGAGGGAGAAAGAAGAAGAAAGTGAGGTTTACTATGTTGCTAGACTATTTCAATAGCTCTAATATTGTAATAGGAAACAATAATTCGCGCCTACGCACTAGTTTCTATGTGTTTGGCCTTGACCATGCTTTTCTTTAATTAAAAATGATGAGTCCTCCATCGAAGCAGTCAAGCAACTTCTCAGCTTAGGAAAAATAATGAAAACAAGACAATGCCAATAAACGGGTAAAGTCTGTTTGTTGCTTTGAATCACAATATGGACGTAAGCTTAGTTCATGCTTACCATATATTGTTCGATTTTTAATAATTTTTATTATTATTCACTAAAGCGATGCAAATAATATCAGAGAAATATTTCAGGATTCATATGTACACCATTTAATCTCTTTTGCAGTTATGTCGAATGGAAATGTGATGGGTATTTTATTACATAATTTTTTCGTGTTAGAAGTGTTTTTGAAGTTTTCCGATTTTTATATTACTTTACACTAACATACACTATCATTCACGCGATCTGGGAAGTGCTGAACGAAATATAAAGACACTGTAATTTTGAATAAGGGGAAAAAAAGACTATCTACATACATACATACATACATACATACATACATTGGTTTAAAGGAAATAAAAGATGCAGTACAGAAATTACACGCAATGTACTGTTGCCAATTTTTTTGGTATTAGTACATTTAGCATATCATTTTGTTGCCAAGCAACTTAATTTTATTATTAGTCCAAAGGGCTATAGTCTCAAAACGGCATTTTGCGTCGTTTCACTTTCCTTTCTGCGTTGGTTCATTTTTCAAAGTGTTGCCACCAAATAGTATTGCCATGATTATATATTTAAAGAAACTAAATAATTAAAAATCTGCATGAATGCATGAACGTTTCTCGCATTGTGAAAAAACAGCGGTAAATACAGCTATCAAATTTTGAATAACGTAGTCCTTCAACCGAACATGTGCACTCGTAAGTCCGAATTTTGAATTCCGAATTTGGTTTATTATCTATTTCAAACTTTGTAAAATTTTATATTAACAAACTCGACGATTTCAAAGCGGCCATAGGAACAATGTATGGAAAGAAGAAAATATTTTTCTCTCCTGCGCGCGAGACTGTTTATCGGAAATTCTAAAGATATGCTGTTTTTAAATTTTTTATGGTATTGCTGGCGAATTGAATTTTATATTGTTTAAGTTCGAAGAACATGATATGCAATAAATAAAGGTGACACACAAAACGTTAAACAAAAGCCCTTTTAGGCGTAATATAAAATCTGAAAACTTTCAGATTTTTTATAAATATTTTTCATTTTTATATTTATTTTATTTATTGTTGCTACAGATGAATTTAAAGACTGCAAACGATTTCTTGCGTTGGTGGATTTCTTGTTACCAATGATCTGGTACCTTCTTCGGATATTCATTTGAAGCCTTCTTTTGATGTAGAAGGTAATGACTGACCGTTTTCAGTTTCCGATTAACAATGGTGCTCGTTTTCCACTTAGAAATTTTAATTATTATCGATTTCCCAACATTTTTGAATGATGGAATTGAAATATTTCTTCTCGTAAAGAGCATAAAAAATATCCTTTAATCCATAGCTTGTTTACATGCGTCATTTTGAAAGAAAAATACAATCAAATATTAAGCTGTTGCCAGAATTTTTATTCCAAAAACCTTTCTTTTTTTATATAAATTCTTTATTGAAATTGTTCTAAAAGAGTGTAAACATGACCTGTATGCTGCATCTTCTAGATGAAGCTTTAGAAAAGTAAATTTAGAGCACCATCGCCATATCGGATGATAAATATGTGAGGGAAACTTTTGGCTCCAAGCAATTTTTTTGGCTGGTGTACATGGGCCTAACACATCTTCGTAGTATTTACCTGAAAGAGATTCTAAAATTTTAATTATACTTAGTCTCAATTTAATTGCGGGTGAACAACAGCAAATCACTCCTTCCCTCCCCCGAAAAAAGGTACCAAATAGTTCTGTATCAGGTACAGAAGATATAGCGCTAGGAATATTTTTAAAAAATGCAAGTATTCTTAAAAATTATTAATTGACTACATTATAAATTAAACGCATTTTAATTTATATTTATATAAAAATAATAGGTCCCCTCCCCCGAAAAAAGGTACCAAATAGTTCTGTATCAGGTACAGAAGATATAGCGCTAGAAGCATTTAAAAAAAAATTCAAGTATTCTTAAAAATTATTAATTGACTACATTATAAATTAAACGCATTTTAATTTATATTATATATTTTAATTTATATTTATATA